GCTAGCAGGGTAGGAGTTTTGCTCCTCTAACCTGGGCATATTTCTTCCATTACCTGTGTTTGGGCCAATACAATGAATCTTACCTTCTCCAGTGGAGCATATCTATATTATTATTAGGACAGGTGACAAAGGCAGGAATCTTATGGTTCAAAAACTTCCTGCCCCTTCCTTTCAGGTTGCCTTTTCCAGGCTGCAGTTCCCTTTCTCTAGAAAGTACAGGGAATGGATATCTAACTTTTCATCAGAGGGTGATTATTTTGACAACCTTCTAATTCAAATAACAGCACTCTGTCAGCAAACATGTGTTAGAGACCAAAATTTATCTTATACATCAGGATCCTGAAAGCTTTGATACTGCCTCTCTGGTTACAATTAGGCAGGCATTTATGATGTAAACAGTTTCCTAAATCCAAGGAAGTCCCAAAAATGGCTTGAATTCCTGCTTGAAGTTCATATTTTGTTTTCATTATTCTGCTGGATTTCTTCACTGGCCAGTTATGAAGGACAATATGTCTGAAGGCCTCTTCCTAGAAGAATCATCATTGGAATTTGGACTTTCCCTCTCATACCTTTCAGAGCATGTTTGTTTATCCATCGTTCGCTGCCTTTTCCTTCCTTCCTGAACAGCAAGAAATGTGGAGAGCTGACCTGAAACCTCCCAAATTCCACCAAAAGACACCAGATTGGGTCTTGCACAAATTAGATTAGGTGGAGGGCCAATATAATTTCTTTGGAAGGTAGTAATTGAGTTGTCAGCATACTCATCCACTATCAGTAGCCTTGGATCTGAAGGGTTTAGATTAAGAATGGAAAAGAACTCATCTAAGCCCATCTCTTGATCATTCATATTGGTGCAAAAGCAGGTTTCTGAATTCAAGTTCCAATATTTATGGATGTCATTTAATTCTTTAGTTACAGAATCTGAAAGGGACTTAGCAAAATCAGACCAATCCCCATCTTGATGTACCTTCAAACCATCACTAACTTCAGTTTCTTTGCTGGTAGGTATTTTCTGCAGGGCTAGTCAGAATTCCTGTCTCCACTAACCCGACCAGTGTACCAATTACGGCACACAAAAGATTTCCCCCCACATCTGTTTAGACAATAAACATTGTTCACATAAAAGTTCCCATGGTGAGGGAATTTTTTGTTGTGGTTGAACCTAGTAGGCAAAGATAGTGATTCTGCATTGTTCCCACAGTGAGGGAATTTCATTTTCTTTTGTGGCTGAGCCTACTATGCAAAGATAGTTATTCTGCATTCCTGAGGTTTTGTACTATGAAGAAAGTTGAGGTTGCCTATGGGCATATGTATCAGCTCCTAACAAGTCCAGATCAATTGACCACTTTGCTAAGATTTCATTAGAAGAACAAGTAGCAAAACCTCTGACTTGGGATAAGGCATATCCAGCTCAATTTCTTGCACACTTGCCATGTAAAGGACCAGGGCTATCTATACAAGACATATTAACTATATCTTGCTACAGTGTTGAAGCAATGATTCTTCAACATCAACTTCGTTGAACTGGTCATGTTGTGCGGATTCCTGATTATCGTCTTCCAAAGCAACTACTCTATTCCGACTTTAAAATGGAAAGTGCAATGCTGGTGGTCAACAAAAGAGATTAAAAGACTTCTCAAGGCAAATCTTTAAAAAATGTAGTATAAACACCAACAATTTGGAAACACTTGCCTGTGAGCGCTCCAACTGGAGAACAGCCTTTACCAAAGGTGTCATGGGGTTTGAAGACACTCAAACTCAGGACGCAAGGGAGAAACATGCTAAGAGGAAGGCACGCTTGGCAAATCCACACTGTGATCCACTCCCGCCCGGAAACCAATGTCCCCACAGTGGAAGGACGTGTGGATCCAGTATTGGCATCCACAGTCACCTACGGACTCATTATTAAAAACCATGTTTATGGAAGACAATCTTACTCAGCTATGAGTGATCACCAAAAGAAGAAGATCTTGCTACAATTTCTTTACAGTTATCTCCATCTCCCTTGCTCCTATTGCTGGGTTACAATTTCTGGACTAAATTTGGCAGGATTCTGGAGGATTTGTATAAAGCACTGCGGATCCGTGCTTATGTGGTAACCATCTTAAAACTACAGAGTATCCTTTGGGCAAGTTGGAGTGGGTAAGCATTCCTTATCAGCTAAATGCTGAGCCAAAGCAGCTGCACTCCCAGTGCTTGTCCGCCAATTAAAATATATGGCTTTCAAGCCCACGTAAAAGCAAAACAGATATGCTCCTTGTCTGTATGTTGCAATTAACACTGCTGAGCTAACTGACTTTAAAACTATTCAAAATAAAAACAAACCAAAACTAGGACAGTAGAGTTCCCATATTCTATACTTGTGGAAAACAAGACAACTTTCCTGCCCTACCCTCCTTCTCCTGGAGATTTTGCCGAACTCCATTTCACATGATTTTAACACGTGTCTACAAGTGCCACATTCTGAAATGTTCTATTTTTATAAGACAAAGTTGACAAACTTCTGAATTGCAAAAAGTCTTCTTCAAACAGAAGTGCTAAAAGTCTGGCTACTACTGAGTTGTGTGTATATTTAGGATAGCCAAACTGTGTCTCTGAGATCACATACAGCTTGCAAAATCCCATATTCAATCCCTGGCATCTTTAGATAAGTCATATTAGGAAAGCCTAGAGAGCTGCTACCACTCAGGGTAGACCATGGGTATTGGTGAACTACAACTTCCATAATTCCTGATCACTGAACATGTTGGTTGGGACTGATGGGAGTTGTAGTCCAAATGTCATCTAGAGCATGGAACCTTTGTTCCTCCTGATGTTGTTGAACTACAACTCCTATCAGCTGAAGGGGCCAATGATTTAACTCAGTTTAATACAGCTTCCAATGTACTCATGAAGAGGGCAAATGACATGATTTCCAGGTCCCAAAGTGAGATATACGGCAAAACACTGCAGAGCAGAATGCCTTTGATTCAGATTTCCATTCAGACAATCATAACTTTTTCCAATATACTCTTATATTTCCTCCTCACACTCCCAAGTCAATCAATATTTCACCACCACAGAGCATGCTCTAACCTCATTTTACTATTCTGGAGTGCTCCTTCAGGATATTTCTTTTATACTTGTGTAAACTCTATGGTTTTTCTAAGCTTACTAATACCTCACATGTGTGTTTGTCTGGGAGCAGTGCCATTTTGGTGTGTGAAGGTCCACACTGTAGAATGCTGTTATTAATATACAATGTAGCATACTGTGAGTTCATTGTGCTCTACAGCAACAAACAGCCAGCTTTCCTGCCCTAGTGGAATCACAGAATTGTAGGATTGGTTGACTCTAAGGGTCATCTAGTTGCCTTCTGTAGTAAACAAGAGTGAAATGATAATCATGCTTCCTTTTTAAAAATTCCTCATTAACTTTATTTCTCAGCATATATGCTGTTGTAAACAAAATCTGCCCTTTTTCCCTTATGGGGAAAGTGGGTTCCCTATCGGTAGGAGAAAATAACAGAGGCCAACCAGAGAATATTGAGAAGCAAAGCAGGAAAGAGGAGGAACCCAGAACAAAGGTGTGCCAGCCCTTACACAGTGGTACCTCGGGTTAAGAACTTAATTTGTTCTGGAGGTCCTTTCTTAACCTGAAACTGTTCTTAACCTGAGGTACCACTTTAGCTAATGTGGCCTCCCACTGCCGCCGTCGCACAATTCCTGTTCTCATCCTGAAGCAAAGTTCTTAACCCAAGGTACTATTTCTGGGTTAGCAGAGTCTATAACCTGAAGCGTATGTAACCCGAGGTACCACTGTATAGACTTTTGAAATTGCCCACCCTCGAACTCAAGACCACCCCCAGAAACATCATACATACATCACAGAAGGGGTGTAGCCCAAGACCACTACCCCAATACATCATACATAAATCACAGAAAGAGGTAGTCTCCAGCAAAATCCTGTCTGGCAAAAAAAAAACATCAATGGTCACTGATTGGATCACATGGGCAGCCTGGCCATTCTTTTGTAATGATAAATACTTAATTCCAGAGCCAGGTCACAGGCTCACCCTATTCACACCTTAAATGTGCCCTTAAGGCAGGATTTGTGAGCACAGAGACAATGAGTTTTTTTTTCAATTCCTCCCTCTTTGCAGAGAAACATTTGGTCAGTTTGGGAGAGTCAAAATGGTTTCAGGACTGTCTTCCTGTACTGTTTTGGACATGTGGTTTATATATTTATGTACGTGTTTGCCTTGTACATTTAATTTACATATTTGAGACCTTAAATTCTTGTAACAATGCACAGGTATGATCCACTGTGAAATGATTCCTTGCTCCACAAACATAACATTAAATATATTTTACCTAAATGTCCCCACTGTGGGAATTAAGACTCTACAGAATTATGTGGGAAAGTGCCTGGTTGTTTGACCCTTTAATTAGTTCTATTTTTACTCCTATAAAAACTACAGAAGACACTCCCTGTTTAAAGTTTAAGTAACAAATAAGTTTTACTTAGTGCACTTGCAGGTTAAAACTCTGAGGCAAACAGCAGTGCAACACTTCAGCTGCTTTCACACAAAAGGCTGTTCATAACTGTCATAACTATATCCACTGACATAACTTGCCTCAGATGTATGACATCACAGAGTTCTACTGCCCTTGTATTAACCCTTTGATTAGCATCTTGGATGCTTCCATCTCACCCCTCCCCTCCCCTAATGCAAATACGATCTTCAGGCTGATAATTATAAAAAACGCAAGCCAGCCAGCAAGGAGGACGAAACTATCTACCAAGTCCAACTTCCCACTCGTCCTGCTCAGGATGATGCTATGTGCATTTATTATTTTATTATTATATTTTTTTAAATGTAGGTGAAAAGTGGAGGCGCACTTCACGTCGCTCCTGAACTGCAATAAAAAAAAAGAAAGCATGGAGGCGTGGCGGGAACCGGGACCATCCCCTCAACCAATTTCTGTCCAGGAAATAAAGGGGGTGGGACACGCGCCTCCTCACTCTTTCCCCTGCAAAAAGGCAGAGAGGAGAGAGCGGTGAGACGGAGAGGTTGTTTCTCAAGGAGCTCCAGCTCCTCCGCTCGCGTGTGCGCGAGGCAACTCCGAAGCCAAGGAAGCCAGAGGGTTTGGGGCGCTGGGAAGGCGAGGCAAAAGAAGGACCAAGACCAGGAGGACGAAGAGTTGCTGCAAGCAGCAAGAACCAGGACCAGGGCAAGCGGCGTGGTTCGGGAGACCCGCCGACACACTTCGCCGGGGAGATGCAGCACTCCGAAGGCGGCAACCCCGCCTCTTCCCGCGAAGAAACATCACCAGAGCCTGGAGCGCGGGACTCCCCAACCACCCCGCCTGGGCACGAGAAGGACTCGCGCCCCCAGCGCCGTCAGCGTCGCCGCCGCCGCCGCCGCCAGCAGCACCACCAGCAGCAGCAGCAGCAGCAGCCCGGCAACATGAGCACTTCCGGTAGGTCAGAGGGCAGGAGGAAAAGCGGGTGCCAGGTAGCCGGGGGGGGGAACGTTGGGGCGCGGGGCCTGGTCGAGGGCGAGCGGGTGAGTGAGAGAAATAGGGCCGGGCGTTCGGGACTGCCCCCCCCCGCGGGCTCCGCACACCCGGAGCGCGAGTTCCCCTTGCCGAAGAGCCCCCTCAGCCGCCCCTTTCGGAGCTTCCGGGCGGGGTTGGTCTCCCAGCATGCCGAGCGGCCGGATGTACCGCCATGTTTTGGGCTCCCTGCCTCTTGTGCCTGTAGTATTGACAATAACAAGCGGCGCGGCGGCCTCCCTTGTTCGTTTCCCCCTCTCCCGGCCGCGAAGGAGGTGGCGGGGAAGCGAGAGGGAGCGGGAAAGGGAGCCCGGCTCCCCTCTCCGCCCCTCCTCGGGAGAGAGGTGATCTCGGGGAAAGGAGCGAGGCAGAGAGTGGAGGGGACCCTGGCCGAGTGAGGGGACAGGCAGAGTCGCTGAGAGAGGTTCGCGGGAGTCCGGGGCAGGGTGGCCAGGCGGAGCTGCCCTACCCCTCTCGGGGAGCCAGACGCCTTTTCTGAGAGATCGATCCGAGCGAGAAGGGGTGAAGGGAAGGCCGGCAAGGGCTTCCTTTCCTCCTGAGAGGGAAGAGAAGAGAAGCGAACCGGCTGGCAAGGAGGCACTTGTTCTGCCTGGAAGGACGAGGCAGAGATATTCCCCGACTTGCTCTGCGTACCTGTCCCACCAGAAGGATTTGATGCCCTTCAGCCTGCTCACCTCTGTGGTGTTCATGTTTCCCACAGGTTTCACTTCCCCCAACCCCTCAGCAGCAGCAGCTCAGGAGGTCAGACCCGCCACTGATGGTAGTAGCAGCAGCAGCAGCAGTGGTGGGGGCGGCGGCGGCGCCTCGTCTTCTTCCAAGAAAAGAAAGCTAAATAGTAATAGCAGCAGCACTGATAGAGAAGAGGTTGAATCCATCACCTCCTGCTCCTCCGTTCTTCCCAGAAATAACTCTTCCACATCCTCTATCGCTGCTACTACCACCACCATCACCACCACCGCCACCCCTGCCACCTCTGCCTCCTGTTCCTCCTCATCAGGAGTTGCCTCTTCCAACCATTACCTGCAGAAGAAGTTGCGCTTTGAGGACTCCTTGGATTTTTTTGGACTTGATGCGAAGATGGCTGAAGAGTCTTCCTCCTCCTCTTCCTCCTCGTCACCTGCTGCCTCTTCTCAGCAGCACCAGCAGCAGCAGCAGTTCAAAAACAAAAGCCTCTTAATTTCCTCAGCTGTGGGACACCACGCAAATGGCCTGACCAAAGCTGCCTCTTCCACTGTCTCCAGTTTTGCCAACAGTAAACCTGGGTCAGCCAAGAAGTTAGTGATCAAGAACTTTAAAGGTAACATGGTTATTTCATTCCTTAACTTTGAAATGTGTATCTACATAAAGAGGGATGGCACGTACTTTGCAGAAATCTTTGGTGTGTGGGATCATATTCACCACTCTGCCACGGAATCCCTTGTTAGGGGAAACCAGACCACTTACCAGGGATCCATTACAATTTTATCCCCAAGTGTAGTGCTTTCTTTTTTGCCAAACAAAAAAAGTGTCAGGCGTTCGTTCATATAGCTGGTTTGAAAAAGATATGTTTTGTGGAGTTAACTCTCCCTGTAATTGGTGGTTGCAGAGGGGAGGGACAGGAATTTTTCATTCCTTCTCCAATGGCTCTAAAAATGAAACCAGTCCCCCTCAATATATCCCCAGCTCTTCACTATACATCCATGCTCCAGTTTCCCCTTTCTTGCTGCAGTTCTCGAGTTAAATGGAATGTGAAGCTTTTAAAAGTATGACAAAAATATATAATATTGAAGACAGACTATTTTTAAGTTGCAGCTTAGAAAAACTTAGATTGATGTATATGCTTCTGTTTCTTAAACATGTTTGTGAAATTACAGCTCTTTACCATAATCATGTGTTTAGAGATTTTTAAACAAAGTTGTATGCTATTTCCTGCAGCTGCATGTGAGGATCCCTGCTCTGAAGTACTAGTATGCAGTGCTGGTACAGAACAGGGCAGAGCATCCTTGACCTCTTAAAATCATACACTGGGAGTTTTTATTAGAATGAGGTAGCAGCTATTTCATCCTTTTCTTATTTCTCAGTCAGTTTAGGATAAAATTGTAGGGATACAACTATTTCCACAAATATAATGTGAATCCTGTACAGTTGTTTGCCAGAGACATTCATCTTGGATGGTAGGGAGGGAAATGAGAGGATCCTATCATTTCTGGAATTTTGTATTTTCTCGAGGCATGTGTGTCTCCATAGTTTGAGAACCTGTCAAATATTCCCTCTAATGTTTGGTTGAGTCCCAAGTAAAAAGCTTAAAATTATTCTTGTAATCAGCATACATATATTTATTTACATGGAGGAGGCTAGATGGAAAATGAGAGGAAGCCAAAGAATTTTGCCTGGACACTCAGGTTTTTAAAGCAGCATGTAATGTGGGTGTTAAATTAGGGTTGTAGCACTCCTTAGATAGAATGAGTTCTGTTTGGTTCTGGTTCTGAAAAGAAATTCCTATGCTCAGAATGTGCTCAGAGGCACCCTGCTCTTTAATTCTAACTGCACCTCTTTTGCACTTGTTGCTGGTTGGCAAATCTTGGGAGTCTAATAAAAATAGTAGATCAGAGCAGTGGGAAGATTGCCCGTTCCTAACCAAAAGTCTCAAAGCTAGGTACTGTAACTACAAATGGGGCAGTAATGTTAATTTGTTGCAGTAAAAAGACAAAAAAAGCCATGGGGGACCTGATGTACCAACCTTAATTCAGCTGTTGTTAGTTTTTTTAAACTGTTTCTTAATACTGTGTTACAACTGCTGCAACCCACCCTTAGGGTGAATGGTGGATATAACATTCTCTAGTGAATTTTGATATCTGTATGCGTAAGGGGAGGGGGAGTTTATGGATATACACATACCAAGAATGATAAAGCAGGCTTTGATGTATTAATCTCTGGCTTTGAAGAGCTTCGTTATGTCTCTGAAAAAATACATTTTGTTTTTAAATATCTGTCTCAAAACATTTCTGCTTTCTAATCAAGTTTATTAACTGTTGCTTTTTTAAAGGAAGTATCTTACTTCAGGAAATGATAGAGTATATTGGCTGTTTCTTACTTCTAAGTACCTTCCATCACTCTACAAAAGAAAAACAATACAAAAAAATCAAAATCCGTTTATTGTGAGGACCATGCCTGTGCACAAACATCAACACTACAATAGTTAAAAATATTAAAATTCATTACATACTATGCCAACAAAACCACCTTCCCACAAAATAGAAAAGGAGGGAAAACGAGCAACGAGTTAAACAGACGATGAAGGGGTCTTTACATTGTCGTCCATAAATCTTTCCCTGGCTTTCATGGCCTTCATCACAAAAACCGCTACCACATGGGTAATGCGTGGGTTTGCATCAACTAACAAAAATTTTACTCTATCTTCAGGACTGGTTATAGAGTTGGGTATAATTTGCAGCAATGTGTCTCTAAAGCCCGAGTAAATGGGGCAATAGAGGAGGTAATGTGTAAGATCCTCTTTAATTTTCCTAAGGCAAGGACATAAACGATGTTCTACTGGGGTTTTTGTGTATCTACCGGTCAGATAAGCAGTTGGCAATGATTGAAACCGTGCCATAGTGAAAACAATACAGATGGTCCTTATTTTTGTAATTACAAAAAATATTTTTATAATTTTGGCCTCACCACCATACACACATTCCTGTTTGTCTACCCTTAACATGCAGGTCAAGCTGTCTTTTGTTAAACCGTGTTTGCCTTTCCCAGACACTTCCCACTCATTTCTTTGCTTCTGACTGGTAAATGTGAATCTTGCATTTCCATTTCCTGACTCGTATATAAGTCCAGTTCTCACTGAGCGTCCATTTGACTCTTTATGCTTCTTTTGGGCAAATGCCTCACTGACAAATTAATGGTACCAAGCGTGTATATATTGTGAAGAATCTGCATTTCTTTTCCTTTCCTTGCTGTATATATACTACTCTTGCCACAATTGAAGAGTGTAGAAATGTCTGTGGATGAGGATAGGATACGTCTTCAGCTGAAATGGTAGATCTAGAAAGGGAACATCATCTGCTAGCATATAAACTGTACTGCAAATCTGATGTTCAAGCCACACCACATGAGGAATATGCACAGTGCCTCAAGAGCTGCTTATTGGTATCCCTGGCTACTAATCAGTTTGATCTTACATTATGTTGAAATGATGCTAAGTCAATAAGAACATTTGTATGACTTGGTTTTCAAACTCCATACAAATGATATGCTTAAGGGGACATTTTAAAATTGATCCATGAAACTGTGGTAGCACATGAGGAATGAATCTTATCCACTTCGTAAGTAGGATATAGTATTTAGAACGTGGTAAGGTAAAAGCCAGTACCTTGAATCCTGCCTTGAAGACTTGCATATTGGAATACTTGTGTAATGTGCTCCTTGTGATATTTCTGTTTCATGAGGCAGGCTGTTGCATTGTCTGTATACTGCAGATACTGAAAAATAATCAAGAAAGCTTTGCACACAATACATTACAGGGGCTGATTTTTTAAAACATAAATGCTTTTTAGTTCTGAATTAGGGGGGCGGGGATTGGCAATCCAAGGCAATCTAGTTTTGTACTGGTCAACTATTGCTTAATAGAACTGTCAAGTTCAGTAGCAAAGTCCCCATGATCTGCAATCCATTTGGTAAAGGTAAAGGAACCCCTGACCATTAGGTCCAGTTGTGGCCGACTCTGGGGTTGCGGTGCTCATCTCACTTTATTGGCCGAGGGAGCTGGCGTACAGCTTCTGGGTCATGTGGCCAGCATGACTAAGCCGCTTCTGGCGAACCAGAGCAGAGCATGGAAATGCTGGAGTGGGTACCTATTTATCTGCTTGCACTTTGACATGCTTTCAAACTGCTAGGAGCAAAGACCGAGCAACAGGAGCTCACCCCGTCGCAGGGATTCGAACCGCCAACCTTCTGATCGACAAGTCCTAGGCTCTGTGGTTTAACCCACAGTGCCACCCGCATCCCGCAATCCATTTGACTCATCCCGAATTCAACCATTTCACCATTCTGATGGGTCAGTTTAGCAGAGATCTGAATTGTTAAGAGACAATGTCTAGTTTTCATTTGTTTACTTGCAAGTCACTATTGTGACCTGACTACTGATGGGGCAGAAACTGGTACGTTGAGCATCTCCTAGAGGGATTATTTGTATGTAAAGATTAGTACAAATGCTTCCTTGATTATGAGTTTTGACAAAGAAGTAAATCTTGTGGGTCACTATTGAAAGCTCACCAAATGGCCTTTGGTCTGCTCCAGAAAGGCTGTTCTTACGTTCTTAAATTATATATTTGCTGTAAAAGACACTAATTTTTAATATCTTGCAGATAAACCTAAACTGCCTGAAAATTACACAGATGAAACCTGGCAAAAACTGAAGGAAGCTGTAGAAGCTATTCAGAACAGTACTTCAATTAAGTACAACTTAGAAGAGCTCTATCAGGTAAGTGTCAAAACTTGTAGCGTTCAATAACATAGGTAAAGCCGTACTAGACTGTAAACATATCCGAGGTTTTTAGCCCACTTTCTAGGGCCTCAAACTATCTGGGTTTGAAGTGTGGATAAGGACCCATAATCACTCAGTGAAGACCAGGTTGGACTGATGGTACTTCAGAAAACTAATGAGAGCTCCTTCACAAATTCATCAAGCCACATATACTTTTTCCATCAACACAGTAAAATATTCAGATGTTCATCTGAATGGCTTTTTTCTGGTACATTCACTATGGTTCAGGCATGGACCTGTCACTCTAGAATTTGTAGTGGCACTTTAACAAAACAGTGAAGACTGGCCACAATTTTAGGTGTCCTGCACTTCAGAGAGGGACAAACTACAGTTTGAAGTACATCTTCAGGAGTACTATGCTGGCGTGACCAAAGATTCTCTGGATAGGTAGGATGATAAGCTTCACAGGGAAACAAAGGTTCTGCTTATTGCTGGGACGACAACTTCCATCCCAGTTTGTTTCTTGTTCCTAGTGTGCTGACACAGACCTATTGTGAGGCCGAAACATCGCAGGCAGGGAGGCTTTTAACATGAAATTGAAGTAGAACTTCCCCAGTTTTTTTGATATTATTTATTAGTAATATATGTATATATTATATATTGCACACTCGTTTAAAGTACAGTGGTACCTCAGGTTAAGTACTTAATTCGTTCCAGAGGTCCGTTCTTAACCTGAAACTGTTCTTAACCTGAAGCACCACTTTAGCTAATGGGGCCTCCTGCTGCCGGAGCACGATTTCTGTTCTCATCCTGAACCAAAGTTCTTAACCTGAGGTAATATTTCTGGGTTAGCAGAGTCTGTAACCTGAAGCATATGTAACCCGAGGTACCACTGTATCAAGATGGTGTTTGGCACATATAATAGAACATAAAAAATACCATAAAACATTAAGAGGAATTGTTGGTGCTTGCAGAAATATGAGGTCATCCACTGCTCTGCCGCACTCGAAATACTTTTAATGCTAGTGGGAATGTAAATCAGTGTACTACCATTAGTTTACTCTTCAAATGAGTAAAGTTAAAGTAATCTGAAAAAGCTAGAAAGGCAAGTTGTCATAAGTAGATCCAAGTTACAGTATTGCTAAAAATGGGGAACTTAAGTTGCTTACTGACTTTTTTATTTACCTACTTCTAGAGAAGCAGGAAACAATGATGAAATGTTTCAAACTCCAGCCTCAAATACTTGAACACCTGGGATTTTGCTTGTTTTTATAGGAAGCACACTTAAGCAATCAAAAGACATAACTTCAGTAGTCCCTTTTACTGCAAATGCTTGGTTTATTCTTTTCCTTGTTGCCTTAAAAGTAACAGATTCCCTTACCTTAAAGAAGCAGCATTTACCGTATTTTTCGCTCTATAGGACACACCTTGTTTTAGAGGTTGAGAACAAGAAACAAAATTCTCCCCCTCTCTGCTCAGCTCCCCTTCAGCGAAGCGGCAGGAGAAACGGAGCCACTTACATTTCTCCTCCCGCTTCACTGAAAGGGCGCTGCGCAGCTCTCCCTCTCTGCTGAAGCCAGGAGAGTCTTACTCTCCTGGCTTCAGCAAAAGGAACCCACTGCGCTCCGGAGGCTTCAGGCGGAGTCTTGCTCTCCCAGCTTCAGCATAAGGAACCCGAAGCCTCCGGAGCGCGGAGGGAGCGCTCCCTCTGTACTTTGGAGGCTTCGCATTGCTATCGCTGAAGCCAAGGAGCCTGCATTCACTCCATAGGATGCACACACATTTTCCCTTAATTTTTGGAGAGGAAAAAGTGTGTCCTATAGAGTGAAAAATACGGTATATGCAGAGTTAAGCATTTGTATCATTTTCGTGTATATTTTACAGGATTACGTCATCTTCTTTATCACTTACCATCCCTTCTTCCCTATCTGTTCCTATATTATTTTGCATGCATGTTTTTTCTCTCTCACTTTAGTTTTGCCAGTTAACTGTTGAGTTTTCTGTAGAACCACAGTGTTTCACAGACCCACTAAGCCTTTGCTTAAGACTTTATAATCTGATTATGTGTGCTTCTATGGAATTACTTTGCATCTTCACTGATTTTTGGAAAGTTAACCTTTACTTTGGGTTTTGTGAATGTCAAAGGAAAGATTCTTAATCTGCATGCAGTTTGTATTCAGTTTGTTCAATACCTGTCTTTCAAAGGTCTTCTTAATGTAGAGTATTCTGTAGCTATTCCGGTTAATAACTGTGTAGGATTTTGAATCTTTGACACTACTATTTGGATATCACTTGTTAAGTGTACTTTTTATCTAAGGGGGGTGTTGAATTATTTCTTAAATTATCACTATTATCACTGTTAAGAAGTGAACATTATTCCATAGGATAGTATAACCAAAAGACTGAACAAAAATAATGAACGAAACATTGGCTATTTGATGTTGCTATTTTAAAATGGGGGTGGGAAGGATCTTGTTAGAGTGCTTCTTGTTGCATGGCTGTTTAGGACAAAAGTTCCTAACATTTAAAATATAAAAACAACACTCAGTTATTATTAATATTTTTTAAATTAGTTTTTTACCCACAAAGTTCTCAAAGTGACTTACAAGATTAGATACAGCAGATAAAAGCAATAAAAGCCAGAAAATGTAAAACAATGTATAGTACAAAATACAGAAAATGCTAACACAGTAACATCATACGAATAAGTCCTATTGCTTGTGATACAAATCTGATACACATACATTTCCTGACATAACTTTCAAATGGAGTACAGTCCAAATTTTACAGTTGCATAGTTGGAGTTGGAATGGCCTCGAGCAGGCAGCCCTTGCTTCTAAGAGCTGTTGTTCTAATTGGCTTGTGGGAATCTCTCTTGCCTCAGAAAACAAAGCTAGATTTAATTGGCTTAAGTTACAAGAAGGTAGATTTTGGTTGAACATTTGGAGAAACATCTTAATGGTTGGATAAATTCAACCATAGAACTAATTACAAGATAGGCTTTCCATTGTTGAAACCCTACAAGCACTGGCTGGGCAAGCCAGCATCTCCCGACAGGGCTGGAAGAGAATGCTGCCAGTCAGTGTAGATGCTACTGTGCTGGGTGGGCCAGTGATCTCACTATATACAAGACTGCTTCCTATGTTCCTCTGGATTTTCTACCTCAAGCAGGGAATGGGACTACGTGGTCTACGAAAACTGTGTCAACTCTTGAATTCACATAGGTAGAATACTGTACTAGGTTGATTAACATATAGCAGTGTTTCCCAACCTTTTTTGGGCAAAGGCACACTTGTTTCATGAAAAAAATCTCGAGGCACACCACCATTAGAAAATGTTAAAAAATTTAACTCTGTGCCTATATTGACTACCGTATTTTTCGCCCCATAGGACGCACCGCCCCATAAGACGCACCTAATTTTTTGGGGGGAGAATAAAGAAAAAAAATTTTTCCCCTCCCCAGGCACGGGGCAGGCGCGGGGGAAGCCCAAGCTTCCCCCCACCCCAGAACAGCCTGATATCCGCAAGCCTAGGGAGCCACACTGGTCTCCCCAGGCTTGCGGAGAGGTGCGTGAAGCCCGGGGGCGCTCTTCAGCGCGCACCAGGCTTCTGGATGAAGGCAGCTCTGCGCTACCCTCCAGAGCCCCGTGCGGCTTCGCGCTGGGATCCGGGAGGTGGCGCGGAGCTGCAAGAAGCCCTGGAGCGCAGGCAGCTCCGCACCACCCTCCGGAGCCCCGCGCGGCTTCGCGCCAGGATCCAGAGGGTGGTGCAGAGCTGCAGGAAGCCCTGGAGCCCAGGTAGCTCCGCGCCACCCTCCGGAGCCCCGCGCGGCTTCGCGCCGGGATCCGGGGGGTGGCGCGGAGCTGCAAGAAGCCCTGGAGCGCAGGCAGCTCCGCACCACCCTCCGCAGCTTCGCGCCGGGATCCGGGGGGTGGCGCGGAGCTGCAAGAAGCCCTGGAGTGCAGGCAGCTCCGTGTCACCCTCCGCAGCCCCGCGCGGCTTCGCGCCGGGATCCGGGGGGTGGCGCGGAGCTGCAAGAAGCCCTGGAGCGCAGGCAGCCCCGCGCGGCTTCGCGCCGGGATCCGGGGGGTGGCGCGGAGCTGCAAGAAGCCCTGGAGTGCAGGCAGCTCCGTGCCACCCTCCGCAGCCTCCTACGGAGGGCGCCCCGTGCTCCGCGCTGCTGGCTGCCGCCCGCAAGCCGTGCACGCGGGGGGGGGAGTTCCCCTGGGCGCGCAAGGCTTGCGGACAGCTGCGCGAAGAACGGGGCGTCCTCCGAAGGACGCCCCGTGCTCCGCGCTGCAGGCTGCCGCCCGCAAGCCTTGCGCGCCGGGGGGGGAGTTCCCCCAGGCGCCCAAGGCTTGCGGACAGCTGCGCGAAGCACGGGGCGTCCTCCAAAGGGCGCCCCGCGCTCCGCGCTGCAGGCTGCCGCCCGCAAGCCTTGCGCGCCGGGGGGTAGTTCCCCCAGGCGCCCAAGGCTTGCGGACAGCTGCGCGAAGCACGGGGCGTCCTCCAAAGGGCGCCCCGCGCTGCATGTTCCCGCCCCCCCGCCCCGCTTCGGAGCCTCTCCCGCCTCCCTCCCACGGCACACCAGGCAAGGTCTCACGGCACACTGGTGTGCCGCGGAACACCGGTTGGGAAACACTGACATATAGCTCATATTCCAAGCTTTGCGGCTGATGGGAGAACCTTCAACATCTTGTCCTCTTGTCTCCTTGGGAGCCCCTTAAAAGAAATAGTAACTAGAAATTGAGTTGTAGGCATACCACGCAAATTGTCTTGTGGCTTATCCCCATGTTTCTCTTACCTCTTACTTTGAGGAGGGTGTCTTGCTACGTTATTGATAATGTTAATGCATTGTGCTTTCTGGCACACAGCAGTTACTGAGAATTAATTATCGAAGCATTCATTTGGCATTCTGCTTTATTATTTATTTATAGCATTTGTACCCTGCTCTTTAGCCAAAAAGGCCCCTAAAATGACTTACATAAAATCAAAACAAGACACTCTCTACCTACAGGTTGACAATCTGAGAAAACAACCAAACAAACCCCACAACACACAAGGGGAAAAGGATGGAAGAGGAAAATAAAAATAAAAACTCTGGCACCAATTTCTAGACTGTTTTTCCTATATACCTGTTGGCACAGTTCAAAGGCAGATGGTGCCTGATGCTGGGCTTCCAGCAGAGCCGATGGACTGACCCTGCTTCCTCTCCCATTGAGGCAGTCTGGTGGAATGGCTTCCCTCAGAAGACAGTTGAGGGAGAGGAGGCTTGATGGGTCTAGTCAGTGTGTCACAGCAGAGCCTGTGTAATGAGCTCCGCTTCTTAGCTGTACATTAGGAAATAATGGTTATTTAGCAGAGTAATTGACTACTTCAGGAGGTAGCAGGTCTCCTTTTGCTGGAGTTGGGTGGTCATCTGTTACAGATGCAGGGATTTCATCTTGTATTGTAGATCCTCCACTGACCAGGGGCTTGGACTAGATAACCGCTCTTTCTTCCACATACCATAGACGAGCCTTGTGGCTTACCAGTAGAATAACTTTCTGGAAGATAGTTAAAAGCTCATTTAAGGGTTATTTGGGGATAAACTTGCATGTTTTCAACCAGTACTTCTGACATCTTAGGGTAAGATATCCTATTACAGTGGTACCTTGGGTTAAGTACTTAATCCGTTCTGGAGGTCCGTTCTTAACCTGAAACGGTTCTTAACCTGAAGCACCACTTTAGCTAATGGGGCCTCCCGCCGTCGGAGCACAATTTCTGTTCTCATCCTAAAGCAAAGTTCTTAACCTGAAGCACTATTTCTGGGTTAGCGGAGTCTGTAACCTGAAGCGTATGTAACCCGAGGTACCACTGTATATATATATATGTACTGTGGAAATCTGTCAGCCTCCTAAGGTTAAGGCCTTAGGGGACCCCCCTCTGGTATGTGTTCAAAGTGATCTCTCAGCTAGCACCAGATATTTTTACAGTAAAGTAACTGTATTTTCTATTGACACTATTCGTTTGCATCTATTTTTAACATGTGTTAAAAATAGTAATATAAGTTGCTGGTGATGTGAATACTTGATAAAACTGTTCTGCTAAAGAGCAGCTGCCTGGTAAATGTATCCAATTCCAAATGTGCATTTTAATGCACGATTATGTATGCCACAGCATCAAGATATTTTTCTCCCACATTCCTCAAAAAGATTCTTACAACTATTGTTTTGATCAGCAATAAACCTCTTAGTGCACTACTTCCCCTGCTGGCAAAAAATCCTTGTAAAGCAACACTAGATTATTTAAGTCTCCCACTTCTTCAAACCCCCTTAGTAGAGCTTTGAGGTGAACTTATTTATACCAGTCCCCTTCTCTCAAATGTGCTAAATTTCAGATTAGTGAATAAATTTGGATCTCCTTTTCCAAGCTGCTCTCATAGGGTTGTTTCAAGGTTTGTCTTAATTTAGTCCATAATAATTTATTTAAACTTCTTCACCAGTAGACCTGGTGCTTTTGCAGAAGAAAGGAACAAGTGACATAAACAAAAGAAAGATTTCTGTCCTGAAGTCCTTACAATCACTAAGCTTTAACATGGGGAGGGCGAGAGGTTAGAATTAATATGAGCAAATACAACTAAGATGTACATGGACTTTGTTTTAGTTGATGAGGGTACTTAGCATTTATAGACAATGTTCACAGAGGTAGCTATATTACTGTTGCAGCAAAACAAAAGAATCTTGTAGACTCTTGAAGGCTTACAAATGTATTATGGTATAATATTTCTGGTCCACAAAAGATTATGCCACAATAAATTTGCTAGCCTTTAAGGCTAACAAAGGGATTATCTGATCCATAATCCCTGACCATTGGCCATGCTAATGTGGCTGGAGTCCAACATCTGGAGGGTCACATGTTCTTCATGTTTCAGCGTGTTTCAGGGCTTCTTGTAGTATTTACATAGTGAAGTTGAAGTGTTCATAAGTGCTTTGTGTTCTTATTTGATGAGTACTGTCTCCATATACCAGCAAACAACTGAAATGACATTTGAATAATTTTAAAATACAGCACCTAAAATAAAACACAACAAATATATTCCTTGTGGTTTCAACAGCCAGTAAAACAGTAAATTCAAGCAGGCTTCAATAGTAACACCCAGCAGATATTTGTTGCATGGAAGCATAACCATATTTACTTTGAAGTAAATTCTGTTGCAGAAAATGCAGTTTAAGTAAAGGTAAAGGGACCCCTGACCATTAGGTCCAGTCGTGACTGTCTCTGGGGTTGCGGCGCTCATCTCACTTTATTGGCCGAGGGAGCCAGCGTACAGCTTCCGGGTCATGTGGCCAGCATGACTAAACCGTTTCTGGCGAACCAGAGCAGGGCACGGAAACGCCGTTTACCTTCCCGCCGGAGCAGTACCTATTTATCTACTTGCACTTTGATGTGCTTTCGAACTGCTAGGTTGGCAGGAGCAGGGACCGAGCAACGGGAGCTCACCCCGCCGTGGGGATTCGAACCGCCGACCTTCTGATCGGCAAGTCCTAGGCTCTGTGGTTTAACCCACAGCACCACCCGCGTCCCTCAAAATGCAGTTTACTTAATAGTAAATGTTCTTAAAATTGCAGCATTGGTTTTAGAGTAGTGTACAAATAATTTTATGTTTGAACTATAATTGTGAATCTTTGCTAAGCAAAATTAAGGCTATGCAGTCTTCATCACTGGGTCCTGTTTGGGCTGCATGTCCTTTAAGTGTCAGAGTTCTCTGTCTAAAATGTTGCTCATTTGCTAGTCTGGTATTCCATTGTTTTCTTCCATTTTCTTCTTCATGATGTTACTGTAGTTATATTAAATGAGCTCAGTCAGCTGAAAGGCACTCTGCCCAGGGGAGCATGAATGCAACTGCAGTGCATTCTGGCATGTATTTTGTTCTGTAAACTAACAGCAAAATTGAGAGCCAGATCTTTGGAGTCCCATTTTAAATGAGTAGTGTTTGTGCAGAAAGTATCCAAAGACTGCAAATGACTTGAGACCTGTGAGCAGACTTCCATTCACATACTGGGGATTTCCCACGCTCATTGTAGTTCTTGGCATCTCCTGAAAAGCCACTCTGGGTTAGTCATATTCATTTAATTGGGTCTAATCAAAGTAGGTCTAGTTTTGAATACCACCCTTAACTTTGATCTCTAATTGCCTAGTGATGCCCCCACATCAGATAGGTATGTTTTTTAAAACTCGCTGGGAAGAATCATTTTGACTTGTGTTTTTCTGAGAGCTGGCATGTACAGAAAAAGTTACAAATTGTAGATGGAGTCCTGCAAATGTTGGTGGAGTTTTTTTCATGTGTCCCTTTTCCTTTTTTTAGGCTGTTGAAAATCTCTGCTCATATAAGATTTCTGCAAATTTGTACAAGCAGTTAAGACAGATTTGTGAAGACCATATCAAAGCACAGATCCATCAGTTCAGAGAATATCCTTTTTGTGTAGTAAGTCTGTTTGTGGACTTCATTTTTATAATGCCTGAAATCCAGATACATACACACATCTGTGTTCTTCTGTGTTTCCCTCTGAGCATCTTCCCTGTCAAACTTCAGAGTGGATATTTACATCCTTGGAGTCTTAAAAATCAGTTTAGTGTCTAGGATAGAGTCTTTTGAAACAATAAGTACTGGGAAGTAGGTGAAATTTGGTGCTCATATCCTCTGAGGCTATGTGTATGCCTGTGATATTACTAGATCACAATGCTTTGAATATGGGTATTATCATATGTGGACACCTAACTTGAAAGATAAAGTAAGTTCTTTCATAATTTTAAAGCTATTGAGTTCAATGGAATTGTGTCATCACAAGTGTTTGATTAACATAGTAGCCCATTAAATTAGAATGGTGGTCTCTTGGCCTTTAGCTGATTTTAAATAAACATATTTTTCATGATCACATCCTAGCCTAAAACAAAGGCTTTAGAATAGGGCTGGCAGTTTCTTTTGTTTCTATTGAGTTTTCCAGCGATGACGCAGAAGAACAATGTCATCAGGCATTGGTGTTGTCCCAGTTGTTGTGTTAAATTTCTTAACTCCTTCATCATGGATTCATTGGACAGTGTTCTTTTTCTCAAGAAAATAGACAAATGTTGGCAAGACCACTGCAGACAAATGGTAAGGCTTGTTTTCCTTCCAAATAATACTTTTGTGAACTTGGATCCCAGATGGTTTCCCCCCACGAACACCTGCAGCTTCCTGAAAACTGCCTTGCGAGTTGGAACAGGAACTATCTTGAGTAGCTTTCCAGGGGTCACAGATAGATGTGGAGGCAGGGGAGATCATTTGCCGTGCAGAGAGAAGTGCTTTCTGCTCACAGATATTTAGACAAATACAACTTTTTGTTTTATACCAATATAAGGAAATGACTCAAGCAATTATATAAAGGTAAAGGTACCCCTGCCCGTACGGGCCAGTCTTGCCAGACTCTGGGGTTGTGCGCCCATCTCACTTAAGAGGCCAGGGGCCAGCGCTGTCTGGAGACACTTCCGGGTCACGTGGCCAGCGTGACAAGCTGCATCTGGCGAGCCAGCACAGCACACGGAACGCCGTTTACCTTCCCGCCAGTAAGCGGTCCCTATTTATCTACTTGCACCCGGGGGTGCTTTCGAACTGCTAGGTTGGCAGGCGCTGGGACCGAGCAACGGGAGCGCACCCCACCGCGGGAATTCGAACCGCCGACCTTTCGATCGGCAAGCCCTAGGCGCTGAGGCTTTTACCCACAGCGCCACCTGCGTCCCCAAGCAATTATATACTTAGGACCTATTTTTGCTGTATTGCTTTTGTGTCCTGACATTTAGGCATTCAGTTCGCAACTCTTGGCGACAGTTTCTGTCACTTTGAATCTGGTACATTATGCTTCATAATTTTTAGGGGTCCCTTAGGAAGGTAACCCTTTTTGCAATGCGCCTCAGTAATTTTAAAAGGGCAGCGCCATAAAACCTGCTTAAAGAAGTATTTCATCAGAATATTATGTGAAGAATTAGATTAAAATGTGCCCTCACTTCAGTCTCTGGAGGGAATGAAGTTTCCCCAGGTGACAGGAAGTGCAGCAGCTTTTCAGTGTCTCTTACCCTGTCCTGGTTGTGGAAACCTGCACATTAATGAGGATGTGCACCATTCATCTTAAGGAACATGGTAAAGCAAGAGGGAGAAGTCGGTCAGTTCATATGTTTGATTTTCTAAAGTTGCAGTCAATAAGGCATATTTAGAAGCAAGGCCTGTTAAAATTGGTGGCCTTTCCAACCAAGTAATCATGTTTAGGATCAGGGCACAAGAATGATCTTGCTTTATGTCAAAATGTTTATGGCTTGATTTTTTTTCCCCTCCCCCTTACAGATAATGATTAGAAGTATCTTTTTGTTCCTGGATCGAACATATGTTCTTCAAAATTCAATGCTGCCATCAATTTGGTGAGAATGAAAAGAGAAGTATTGATTTTAGACTTCCAGATGCTTTGTCAAAAATATAGATTCAGTTTTTCTTCCCTTCCATTGTGATTGAGATTGAGCCACAGTGAACTGACAGTGAATAGAAAATCTTTGTAGCATGGCTGGTATATATGTTTTCTTTGCTATTCTGACCACCCAGATTTTCACAAGGGGTGTGTGTGGCAGTTTAAAGCTAAAGTTAAGCTAAACCAAGTTCATATTTTGAAAGTATCAACTAGCTCCAGAACGGTGAATGAGGTCACTGTGCATATTGTTGGGATACCAAGAATGGCAGCAGTGCTACATGTTGGGAACAATTGAGCCATCAGGAACCAGCAAAAGGGTCTCTGTCTTCTGGCACCATGTTCAAACATCACAATAAGCCATACACAAGCCATTTATGCCTGCGTCTTGCCTCTCCACCAGCACTGTGGAGAAACAAAGAACAATTAGCATTGTTTCTTTTGTTCCTGGTTTTTCAATCACTGTTTGCGTGAGCACAACAATTCCTGGTTCAGGTATAATGCCAAGCAGGTGTTATCATGGTTTGTTTCCTCTGCACGCTCACAGTGAGAAGCAAAACAATCTAGGTTGACGCATTCATGGTAAACCATTAATTATGCTTTACTATGAAACAGACCAGTGGCAAAAGCAAATAGCAATTTAGTCTTGAAATTTTAAAACAGGTGATGCAAAAGTAGAATGCTGCTAGCCTGGAACAATTGACTGGTTGTTTTTGTTTTCAACCATGTAGTTAAGCATGCTTAACAAAATGCAGACCTTTGGGTTATGCCCTCCAGAACTCTACTCATTGTCTGTGTACTTATTTAAAATCTCCTCAGTGACTTTTACAGGAACAAAATGTGTCAGAGTTTGGTTTAGAGCCTTGTGTTCCCAGTGCAGTATCAGTGTTATAAGTGGTGCACATTAGGTTGGACCTCATTTTATCATACCGTTTATAGAAGGACTCCTTTCATGAAAGGAGCTATAAGGTTTTTTCCAACCTATTTATTGCTTGTATTAAACTTGCTACTAGTATTAAATTCTGGAAGCACTCCTGTTGCTTTCTCCCCCAGCCAACTGCCTGTTTTTAATCTTTTAAATCCCATTCTCAACTTAACTCTGGAAGAGTTCCTAGTATGTATGTATTTATCCAAATTTCAGGTTATATGAGTAGGTATATCCAATTCATATGAATACATGCCTCTTAAATGCATTTACACACATTTTTTTGGTCCTTGGAAAAATGTGCAGGTAAAATGGGCCCATTCCACCCTTGGGGTAAGAGCTTGCTATGGACATTTACCCAGATCACTTAAGGCCTGGTCAACTACTAGTTTCTGAACCCTTTATGAGAATCTGGCTTGCTGGGTTCGGTCATAAATGCATGAAAGAGCCAAGGACTCACTTTCTCTTGTGCTGTATTCAGAAAGTAGTACCTGATCAGGCCTGTAGATTACTTCTGCAGTTGAGCACTTAGACAAAATAAATGCAGAACAAAGCTGCCTCTCTGTGTTGGTCTCTGCTTCCTTATAATGATTCATTCGTTTCCAGGGATATGGGGCTAGAATTGTTTAGGACTCATATAATTAGCGATCAGAAGGTCCAAAACAAGACCATTGATGGCATCCTTCTGTTGGTTGAGCGAGAGAGGAGCGGTGAGGCTATTGACAGGAGCCTTCTTCGCAGCCTTCTCAGCATGCTTTCAGATCTTCAGGTAAGCAAGGGATGCCCCATCACATTGAACCTGTACTTGTTGTGTTGTGTTGTAAACCGCCCTGTGATCATCTGATGATGGGCGGTATATAAATTTAATTAATAAATAAATTGAATGAATGAATGAATGAATGAATAATGTCAAAGTAAGCTGTGAGAGCATCCTAAGCAAATGACCCATTTCTGTTTTCCACAGATTTACCAGGATTCTTTTGAACATAGATTCTTAGAAGAAACAAATCGCCTGTATGCAGCGGAAGGACAGAGGCTTATGCAAGAAAGAGAGGTATTTTATTATCTTATTGCTCATGGGCACCATGGGGACATTAACCTCCTGGTTAATGAGGGCAGAACAGTAGCTCCCAAGACTTGCTTTGCTGTGCTGACACGGGCTACAATTAAGTATTTCAGCAATAATATGACAAGATATAATAATGCCCCTCCAATTTGTTTCTCAGACATTTCCCCCGCAATAAAGGATATACCATTCTCACCTTATTTAACTTTTCTCCATAATTTATTCAATCTGTCAGGTTCCAGAGTACCTCCATCATGTCAACAAACGCTTGGAAGAAGAAGCAGACAGGATTATCACCTACTTGGATCAAAGCACTCAGTAAGTGTGTGGACTCCCTCAACCTGGTGTGTTAAACATGTTAAAAATGACCTGGTTTCAGCATTTCTTTTTGCCAAAGTGTGGTTTAATTTCCTAGACATAAAGAATAATGTCTAGCAAGGCCACACTCGCATCAGTTGTCAGAAATTACATAGTTTCCAGAAGAAAAGACAAGCGTTGACACCATTAAAACCATGAAAAACTTAAACAAGTTCTGGGAATAAATTGTCAAAGATGAGAGTTGTAGCTCATCAACATCGAGAGGGCATTGCATTGGCTACCTCTGCTCTAGATGATTTATCTGCTTTATATAAAAGACAGGAGAGACCAGAAGCAGTTTTTTATATACACACACACACACCCCACCAATCTGGACCATAAACACGTTGTTAACAAGTAATTGAAATGTTATTGTTTGAAGCATCTAGGTGTTCCAGTTGGGTTGAAAATGGTTAACTGATAAGCAAAAAGAATGTAATTCTAAACACTTTTTCCTATAGGAAACCACTAATTGCTACTGTAGAAAAGCAGCTGCTAGGTGAACATTTAACAGCCATTCTACAGAAAGGTAACCTATCTTCCTTCATATAAATCTTTCTTCTTACTGCTTCAGGGCTTTCAGTTCCCTATACTAAACAGAAATGACCCATTCAGATTCTAAAGTCCCTCTTGCCCACCCAGTTCATGAAATAGCAGTGAACAGTATACGAAATGGTGACTTGCAAGCAGTGGCGTAAGCAAGGCCAGGTGGTACCCAGTGTGGAATTTTTTTTGTCAACCCCCCCCCCATTTGAAATTATTAAAAGGAAAGATACTTACACAAGGGTTATTTTCAGGTTTATTTACTTAACATTGTGAGCATAAGCACCTAAAATGTTTTTTCCCTAACTATGTCTCAGAGACTGTATTTTTAATCTCTTTTCAACCATCAAGGCATTCTTAAGTGTTGCCTGCTTCCCACCCCTACCATCCATATCTACCCTATCTGTCTCCTGAGTTTTTTTCATGTTAGTCTCATCCATTTTTCCTAATTTCCTCCCTTCCTTGCTTCAAGACATTCAATTCTTCTGTTATCAATGGTTCTATCTTAGTAGTCAGTTCTGACACTATTTCAATATTTTTATCCATTTGGGCTCGAATCTTGTCTGCTAAATTATCCCAAATTTCCTTCATCTCTTTAATCAATTCTTCCTTCCACACAGAGAAAGTCCCCTCAATTCCAAGCAAACCTTGTTCCTTGATATGTTTTTAACTACTCAAAATACTCAGGACCGTGTGGAATTCACATAATTTACTCTGCCTTCCCTGGTTCTCAAAACAGTCAGTTTTACAACAGTACCTTATCACTTTGTCAAGGCTGCTTTCCCAGGAAACACCACTTCCTGTACTTTCCTGTACTCTAGTCTGTTCCAAACTTTAAAATTCCAATTTATCTATAAGAATTCTTTGAAAACAAACTCAATCTTCTTTAAACCACTCCAGCCAAGGTGTATTCACAATCCAGTTATAAATCCAGTTGAAGGTAATAAAGAATGGGTTTCAGTTAATTTTTAGTCTGAATGTCACATCAACAGGCAAATATACCATTGATGCTTGCCTTGAGCCCCGCCCCCCGCTGCTGGCAACATTGGGCTCCCCATCCCTACTGGACCGACGCTAGTGTCCCCAGAAGCGCAGAGCAGGGCACATAGGAGGAGCAGGCAGTGGCACCCCTCTATCGCAGGGGCCCATCCCAGCACGTGTTCAGGCAGGGAGAGCAGGGCCTGGCTATGGAGGTGCAAAGGGGATGCAATACAACTCAACCCCGCTCAGTTCCTAGCCGTACGAGGGCAGGGCATGGCCAGGGAGAGCAGGGCCTGGCCTGGCCGACAGCGCCTGATGCAACTCAGTCTCAACCCCACTCAGTTCCTCGAGGTAATTGCATGTGCGCCCTTCGCCTCAAGTACAAATTCAGAGATGAGTTCAGCCAGCATTTTGTCACCCGCCCCCCTCCTGATGGCACCCAGGGCAGACTGCATTCACCACACACCCCTTGCTACGCCCCTGCTTGCAAGTCCTGTCCTCATTGCAGGTAAGGAGCCACTGTAGTGCCTTCAGATGTGTATCAGAATGAAAACATAATATTCCTAGGAACAGAAAAAGAGAAAGTTTGGGTATAGGTTGTCCGATAAGATTTGTCAACCCTATATGGCATTAAGAGTTTCAAGGCAATATGGATGTCAACTTTCAGTGGAAGACAAGGGATAGGTGAGATAAACTAAATGTTTTGCTTTCTTGCCTTTAAAAATGGTCATTATGCTTAAGACACCATGCTTTTCAAAGAGAATGAAATATGCTTTTCCTGAAGGGCAGTTAACATAGGATTACCAGAGAGCCTGTAACCCATATTGGTGGGAGTTGGGTGCATGAGATACAGACAGAAGCATTGTCCACGAGACTCTAGAGCAACATCAGGAATGCTGCCATTATTGTGCCAAAGCTGATAGAGGGAAAGGGGGTGTTTTTAAAATCACATTTTGCTTACTATTATGGGGTGTGTGAAAGCACTGAAATTGCTCCCTCTAGCTGTGCAGAATGGAAGTGTTTTTTTTGCTTTATCCCATCCTTTATCCTAGGAGTTTGTGAAAGTGTACATTGTTATTCTCCTTGCCACCATTTTTTCAATGTTATCCCATTTTAATGATAAAAAACCCATTCTTCACTAGAAATCATGTGGCAGAAGCAGCAGCCTCAGCAATAGATTTAAGACCTTCACTTCTGAAAACTGTCTCATCCAATGTGGTTTCTCAATTCATCTGTTGTCTCACTTTCAGTCTTCTCCCACCTTTTAGACCTGTAGTTTCTTAAATATTCTCAGTTGCATTTGTTTCATTTGGAGTAATTAGTAACACATTTTTATCTTGCAGGTTTAAATCACCTTTTGGATGAAAATCGAATTCAGGATTTGTCTCTATTGTATCAGTTGTTCAGTAGGGTGAAAAATGGAGTGCAAGCTCTCTTGCAGCAATGGATTGAATATATAAAGGTATCAATATGTGACTTATTTCGAAAAGTTAACTTGGAGGAGCAAGTCTTTAAATTTATTGAGGTGGGGAAAGATGTCTGCAAAATCTTGGTTTATAAGCCATATATGACAAATCATGTGGCTAAGCTGTCACCATAGTTTTCTAAAATATAGGCTGAACAAGTTTGCATCAACATTGTTGTGAGCACAGTGGGGAGCCATCATCTCTATTGGATCCATTTCATTCCCTTTCTTGACTTAACATTCTGAAAATCTTCATGGGTTAACCTAAAGCTTCCCTGGCTGACTTTGTACCAGCTTCATTGAGTTGTTGTGGTAATTAAATGGGGGTGTAGGAACCATGTACACCACCTTGAGCTCCTTGAATAAAGGGCAGGGTGTAATGAAATAGGCAATAAATTGATTAGTGCATACTGCTTTTGTGTAAAGCATGTAATGTGTGTCCTTACGCACTGGATCTTGTTCGAACTATATGTGGCATCCAGCACAAGTGTGTGATAAATAACTTTCCTCCTTCGCAGGCATTCGGCAGCACCATAGTAATCAATCCAGAAAAAGACAAAACCATGGTACAAGAGCTACTAGACTTCAAGGATAAAGTTGATCATATAATTGACATTTGCTTTTTGAAGAACGAGAAGTTTGTTAATGCCATGAAAGAAGCCTTTGAGACCTTCATCAACAAAAGACCAAATAAACCAGCTGAGCTTATAGGTGGTAGTTCTTCTTTTTCTTCTTGTTATTTCAACTTATTAAGACTCCTACTAATAATAGTCTCAAGATGGTAGTGGAAAGCTCAGTGAAGATGCTGAACCATGTAAAAAAGATGAATTGTATGCTAGTAATCATCAGGCATCCAAAACAAAGCTGCTGCTAATACTATAGTGCCGTTACACAAATATATGGAGCAACCGCACTTGGAATGCCCTGTACAATTCTCATTCCCTTGCCTCAAAAAGGATATTGTGAAACTGGAAAGGGTTCAGAAAAGGGTGACCAAGATGATCAAGGGGATGAAGTAACTCCCCTTTGAGAAAAGATTACAACATTTGGGGCTCTTTAGTTTGGAGAAAAGGCAAGTGATAGAAGACAGCAACCAACTTGGACAGCAACTCCAGTACTCCTGGAAACATTCATGTAATCACAGCTGGCACAATTATAGTCTAGTGAAATACTTATTATAGCTAGCAGATACCTTGTGCAAGGTTGTATTTCTGAGTTTGGTTCTCGGTCAGTCTAGTTCCTCTGATGGAGCTTTGCAGCCCCTTGGCTGTGAGAGGGAATAAGAGGGCTGACTTCCAATCAGACCTGATATTTAAGAATTGGTCATACAGTCATACCTCGGGTTAAAGTAGCTCCAGGTTGAGCGTTTTCGGGTTGCATTCCGCGGTGACCTGGAAGTAACGGAACGGGCTAATTCTGGGTTTTGCCGCTCGCTCATGCACAGACGACCCATGCAGACGTGGGTTGCATTCTGCTCAGGATGCAAACGGGGCTCCGGAACGGATCCTGTTCGCATCCAGAGGTGCCACTGTACTTAGGAGCAGCAAGGTAGGCTGGAGAAGATGGTGGTTTTGAATGTTCAGAGTTTTTAGTTCCCTTTTGCTTTCCACAGTGATGTCACATTTGGTAGATGCTAAGGCTGTTGCTGGCATGACACTTCTTTTCTGTTAGAACTGACAATGAGGCAGTAGAGGTTATAGAACACTAGCCTAATCAAGAATAAACTAAGACTTGATTTAGGAGTTCCTACTCAGATCTATCACTTCCTTTTTGGTTTTGTGTTTCTTCAGCTAAGTATGTGGATTCAAAGCTTCGTGCAGGTAACAAAGAGGCTACTGATGAAGAGCTCGAAAAGATGTTGGATAAAATTATGATTATATTTAGGTTTATTTATGGTAAGACCTGGTCTTCTTCTTTACATTAGGCACCCATGCATATCAGCAAAAAATATAGGCCCAATAATGCTGACTGAATAAGACTTAATGAATGAGAATAAGACTGTTATTCTCCCAGCTTGTTTTGGGGTTTAGGTCTGCAGGAATCAGAGTTAATTAAATACTCAAGATTGCATAACTCAGGTTCATTGCCTTAACCCACAGGAACTACGCACATCGATTTTTTAAAATGAATCTGTAAACTATTTGTGTTGTTAAATTTGGTGGGTCGGAATGCATAGATAGCAACTGGTTCTAGCATAGAGCCACCCTGAGGAAATAATAAGAAGGTTGGGTCAAACCGTCCACTGAATCTCTCTGCCATCTCAAAATAATCTATCAAGCCCCTAGACCTTTTTGGAATGAGGGGAGCTTCAGGGTTCCCCTCTAGAGAACATGTACTTGGAAAGGAGCTTTAAATCTGCTTCTCTTCTACAGGAAAAGATGTTTTTGAGGCCTTTTACAAAAAAGATTTAGCAAAGCGGCTATTAGTCGGCAAAAGTGCATCAGTCGATGCTGAAAAATCTATGCTTTCCAAGCTCAAACATGGTAAGGTTTTTTTTTTTTTAATCCTCTGCTAATTTCTTCTGTGTATACTTTTCATAGGAAATCCCCAATGTATGTTTTTGTACAATAAGTCACTTGAGTATTCTTTAGCCGTTGTGATGTGCATACCTTTTTCCTGCACAGAGCGTATTCCTGTACAGTGGTACCTCAGGTTAAGTACTTAATTTGTTCCGGACGTCCGTTCTTAACCTGAAACTGTTCTTAACCTGAAGTACCACTTTAGCTAACGGGGCATTGCGCTGCCGCCACGCCCCTGGAGCACAATTTCTGTTCTCATCCTGAAGCAAAGTTCATAACCCGAGGTACTATTTCTGGGTTACCGGGGTCTGTAACCTGAAGTGTATATAACCTGAACCGTATGTAACCCGAGGTACCACTGTATAGAAAAACAATGTCATGTGTGAAGGATTCCTGAAAGAAAGTGTCACTGCTGCTTTACTAGGACAGAGTATTGAGGGAACACCAGCAGAACCAATCTGCAACAGCGGCCACCAAACCAGCCACTCCTGAGCAGCACTGCAATACTGCCCTAATCTTCAACTTGAACTGAAACAGAAAATATATCTCTGCCCTCTTGTTAATGATGTGCTCTTAGTCACTTGTTGACAGTGACAAAATTCCTAACTGCAACTTCAATACACAACTGTCCTTTTGTAGAATGTGGAGCTGCTTTCACCAGTAAACTTGAAGGAATGTTTAAAGACATGGAGCTTTCTAAAGACATCATGATACAGTTTAAGCAGGTATGGGTACAAAGTGGCCATCCTTATTTCATCATTATCTGCTTGTGTTCAGTTACATCTGAAAAGGACATTGCAAGGACTCCCTCTTGCTTTGCTTTCTCACAACACGCATACCTGCCTCTCATAGAATTGTAGAGATGGAAGGGGCCACAAGGGTCATCTAGTCCAACCCCCCTTCAATCCAGGAATCTTTTGCCCAATGTGGGACTTGAACGCACAATCCTGGGATTAAGAGTCTCATGCTCTACCAACTGAACTACGCATACTTTAGTTCCATCAACACATTTTGGCTTCTGCATGCCAAATTTGTAATGCTGTTAAGGATTTTTGTTTTTTGTTGGAGCTAGTATGATGTAGCAGTAGATAAGGAAATTCAGCTTGAAAAATCTGGGTTTCAATTTCATGAAATTTACAGGGTGGCCTATGCCGAGTTTCCATCTCTGTTAGTTTGAAGGTGATTGGGGAGGTGGGAGTTGATTTCTGCCACTCTGAGCTCCTTGGAGAAAGGATAGGATCTAAATATGGAGTGGGTGAATGGCTAATAATGCCTGTAGCTTGTTTGTAGTTCTCTATGGCAATTCTGTCCATTTGATTCTGTTGTAGTATATGCAAAATCAGAATGTACCTGGTAACATTGAACTCACCGTGAACATCTTGACTATGGGTTATTGGCCAACCTATGTGCCTATGGAGGTGCACTTGCCACCAGAGGTAAGATAGCTGATAAACACTTCCAAAATCAAATACATTTATTGCCCTTCTTTGATGCTGATGACTATAAACTTTGTTTAAGTTAAGTTAAAATTAAACATTAGTTACCTAATAATTAGAAAGCTGGAAGATGGCCAAGAAATGTCTGAAATTGCATCAAGCTTTAGATTGGATATTTTGAGGGGTGATTATTTAAATTAAATAGGTTAAGTAAGTAATTTGGGAGCCTCTCCCTTTGTAGCAGCAAAAATAAATATACAAAACTTCGAGAAGAGTTGAAGCTTCTTGCACTTTTTTAAAAAAATTATATTTAAACAATTCGGGATAGAGGTGAATTTATTAAATAATTATCTTAAGAAGCTGTGGCACAATAAAGAGTCACTTAGTTGAAAATAGCAGTCCTTAATTGAAAATTAGAAACTAATTCTAATCTTAAACCCTTTTGGTTATAAAATGCTAGTATTAAAATGACTTGAGTATAAAGTTTCGTGGTACAAATATAATAGTGATAGAGGCTTTTCAGATAAGCAGTCAAAAAGTGGAGGGGTGGGGACGGCAGAAATAAGGAAATAGTAGTTGATCATTTCAACTTTAAGCTCATATTTCTCTTCTCTTCAGATGGTGAAACTGCAAGAGATATTCAAGACATTTTATCTGGGAAAGCACAGTGGCAGAAAACTTCAGTGGCAATCAACATTAGGACACTGTGTACTCAAAGCAGAATTTAAAGAGGTAGTGTTTTCTTACCAGTATAGTGTTAATCACTCATTGAAGTCATTTAGTAAATGTGGAATGTAACAGGTCTTTTTAAGTGATCAATCCCATTTTTTAAAATTGGCTTCTGGCTTTTGTTCAGCTTTATTGAACCATTTCTGCCTTATTTCATTTAATGTGCTTTCGTTTCTTCATCAGTTCTGCCACCAACATCCTGTGCCATCATTGGATGAAATGCCCATCTTTTGGTGAATACCCACAAGAACAAGGCTTTCCATGATCCATCAAAAGTATTGAGTTAGGGTCATTCCCCCCCCCAAATATAAGTATAAATATATTTGTGGGGGGGTTGAACCCTGGATGAGCATAGACTTGTATTGGTTTCCAAGTTGTAAAAGGATTTTATTAGGTTGAAACCAGCACTTTGAATTAAGCCTGGAAACAGGGAAACAGAGAAACATAATAGCTGGAGAATCGGGAAAACTGTCCTAACGAGGGTTTGCTCGGTATAGATTTCAGCATTGTTAATTCATACTGTCTGCAATTTCACAACCACATTCATAGCCAATCCTAAACTGGTCTAAGTGTTTCAGATACATATTTAAGGAAGGCAAACCATAGTTACACATTATGTCTTCATAGGGCATTAAGTACTCTGCTCTAAAGACAACACAGTTGTCATGTGGATAATATTTCCTTTTCTGCAGAATGGATGTTATTTCTGCAAGCTGTAGGACTTCCCTCTGCATGCATATAGAACTATCATTAAACAAATTTCTTAAGTTTTCTAAGGAAATGCAGAAATGTTTTTATCATTCTTTTTTTCTGACAGGGGAAAAAGGAGCTGCAGGTTTCATTATTCCAGACTTTAGTGCTGCTTATGTTTAACGAAGGTGAAGAATTCAGTTTAGAGGAGATAAAACAAGCTACTGGAATAGGTTAGTATTGGATGCTCCTTGTTGTTTCTGAGTACTAGTGACTAAAAAACTAAACCATCTCCTTTCTATTCTAGAGGATGGAGAGCTCCGACGAACCCTCCAGTCACTAGCCTGTGGCAAGGCCAGAGTGCTAACAAAAAGCCCCAAAGGCAAAGATGTGGAAGATGGTGACAAATTTACCTGCAATGATGACTTCAGGCATAAGCTATTCAGGATAAAAATCAATCAGATCCAGATGAAAGAAACGGTACCTGTTTCCCCCAACCCCCTTCAGATTACTGACATATGTTTTCTGGTCGCCTGATCAGTGGCCTAAATCACCCAGAAGCAGATCAGTGGCAGCTGTGTTGACTCCAGCTTTCCATTTATGCTGCTGGAGTCATCAGGAGCTATTTGATATGCCAGAGGGAGGGGTTACACAAACTTCTTTTTTCTGAGCTTGGGACATTAAGACACTTGCTCTTGACTCATTACAAACGAAAGCTGTCTTTTACATTAAATTAGATTTTCATTTTCCTAGTGTTTGGCAAAGCATCTATTTACATTGCATGCTTACTGGTTGAATTATTCATTGCCATCAGTTCCTTGCTGGGTGGATTGCTAGCTATAGCTTATTCTTATAATATACAGTAGCACCTCGGCTTACATTACCCTCAGCTAACATGAACTTGAGGTTGCGAAAGCGGCAAACCTGGAAGTGTTTCTCGCACGCGTAGAAGTGGTTTGCCGCCACGCCTGTGCAGAAGTGGTCCCTCCAGCTGCGGAAACCTTGGGGCCTGACCAGAGTTCTGGAACGGATCCCGTCCGCAACCAGAGGTACCACTGTACTGGTTTATTTCCATTTCCTTCCTGCCGCTAAACGCCCTCTAAAAGATGACCAGGAAGAAGAGGGTGGAAATCATGTTTCATCGCAAATGTTTAAATCAGAGCTTCCTCTGATCCACCAGGTCTTACACCCCACACAGTTTTTCAGTTGCTGTTGGTGTTACAAAATGTGCATTCTTCTCATTGACACTGCCCGCACCCCAGCAAAAAGACTTAATATTTATTTAATGTAAAAAAAAAAAAACACTTTCCATGCAGCTTTACCATTTAAAAATGAAAGCAAACAGGGCAGTTGTTGTTTTTTTAAAGCTATAGAAGTCATAAAACACTAAAACATTTGAATCAATGTAACGGTAGTCACCAGTTTGGATGGCTTTAAAGAGGGGTTAGACAAATCAATGGAGGAATAGGTTATCAATGGCTACTAGTAATGATGGCCATGTACCTGTTCCAGTATTGTAGAGAGGATGCTACTGAACACCAGATTTTGGACTATGAATGGCCAAGGGCTGTTGTGCTCATGCCCTGCTATAAGCTTCTCAATGGTGTCCAGTTCACCACTGCAAGAACAGATTGCTGGGTCAGCTAGACCTTGGGTATGATCTAGCAGGACTCCTGTTTGTTCTTAGCCAGATATACAATAACCAGCCTTTAAATACTATTGCAAAGGCCTGAACAAATAACAGCTTTTCAAACTGGTGCTTAAAATGCAGAATAGTAGGCATATACAGTTATGGGAAAGGTATTTCAAAGGCAGGATTCTCCTCCTGAGAGACCCTAATTATTAGTCATTGCTTGCCTGCCTGCCTGCCTGCCTGACTTCTAAATGGCGACACCCAAATAATTAACTTGATGAACAGAGATGGCTTGTGTAGAAGCAGGTGACTTAGAATACAAAGATATATTTAGGATACTCAGGTTTAGGGGGGTGGCCTTTCTTATCGGAAGTAGTACCTCGTGGAACACCAATGTAATTTCATCTACCCATCCCAAATTAATGGCTGATTTAAATTAATCCATTCACTTTAGAGTTGACATAGTAAAAACTTTCTCCATTTCTGATATGCTTTCTTTTCCAAATGTCCTGCTCCTGTAGGTGGAAGAACAAGCAAGCACTACAGAGAGAGTCTTTCAGGATCGTCAGTACCAAATTGATGCTGCAATTGTGAGAATCATGAAAATGCGCAAGACTTTGAGCCACAATCTGCTCGTGTCTGAAGTATACAACCAGCTTAAATTCCCAGTAAAGGTAGAGTATGGGTGTTCTTTCTTAAACTATCGGCAGCAAAATTAGTCCTGAAAATTCTCTGTTTGTTACAGAACTTTCAAGTGAAAAATAGTTTTGTTTTTGAGAATGTCCAGTGTAGCAAAAAGGGATGCCGGTGGCGCTGTGGGTTAAACCACAGAGCCTAGGGCTTGTCAATCAAAAGGTCGGCGGTTCGAATCCCCACAACATGGTGAGCTCCCGTTGCTCGGTCCCTGCTCCTGCCAACCGAGCAGTTCGAAAGCACAAAGTGCAAGAAGATAAATAGGTACCACTCCAGCGGGAAGGTAAACGGCGTTTCCATGCGCTGCTCTGGTTCGCCAGAAGCGGCTTAGTCATGCTGGCCACATGACCCGAAAGCTGTACGCCAGTTCCCTCGGCCAATAAAGCGAGATGAGTGCCACAACCCCAGAGTTGTCCGTGACTGGACCTAATGGTCAGGGGTCGCTTTACCTTTACCTTTAGTATAGCAAAACCAGAAGATTTAGTCAGCAAATGATAAAGAATTCCAGTATAGGATAAGTTAGGAAGGCTGTGAGCTTTCAGCACTCAGAACATATGCCTATATGCTATGTGTTATTAAAATAGGAAGATTTTGTAGATGCAGTAAAGTGCATGTCCAAAGTCCCCCTGTGTTGTGAATCTTAATTTCTTTCTGTTTATAAACCTTTGCACCCATGTGAAGGAATTGAATTAGTACACTAATATGTAAAAACTGAATGATCATTATATACATATTTTAATACTACCATGATTAAAAGATGGTTGCTGACTTCCTGAATTGCTTTCACAGCCTGCGGACCTTAAGAAGAGAATAGAGTCGTTGATTGACAGAGACTACATGGAAAGAGACAAGGAGAACCCGAACCAGTACAACTACATTGCATAAACACACAATGGGCCTTTCTTTCTTTCTTTCCTTTTCTGCACACTTGATGTTCTACTTGGTTGCTGATGGATAAGCAAACCTGTTGATCCCATTAAATTAACTTTTTCTACTACCAGTGGCTGAATGGAAGCAACACAAGGGGTGGGGTGGGGGTATAGTAGAGTGGGCATTTCAATTGATTTTCACATGCCCATTTTGGTATTTACATTTTCAGAAGAATGCTGTTGAACTCTTCGCATGATATTCAGTATGGTGTGCAGAAAACTGTATGGAAGTATCTGGTCTTTGTGGTTCCATTGGGTCCTTGGTCTAAAGGGAAGCCCTTTTTAAGGGTTTGATAATAAACAGCCAAAGTATTGATTTCACTATCACTCTGAATAACAAAGGCCAATCTCATGTTCACCCAAGTTTTTATTTCTTTGGAAATAAAATTACACTCCTGTGAATGCACTTGTAAGGCTGATACTGTTCGTTGTTGTGGCACCCCCATGCTTGGATTTGTGCAACCTTGGAAGTGCAGGGGTTAAAACTACTGATGCTCCCTTTGCTCGTTGCCTTCAAACAAATAAAAAACATTATTAATGTATTTTAGTATTCGTAAAATACATTTTTTTAGTATTGCAAAGAAGAAAATGTTAACACTGTGTACTCAGAAATTAATAATACCACAGTTGTTGGTTTGGGATTCCCTCTGTCTTTACGTAAGCACTACAAGAACAAAAAGCAGGGGGTTTCATCCTTTGCAGAATCCTATGGGGCTTCCTATTGGGCCAGGAATCTAGATGGCTTTTTTGTAGAGATGCATCTAATGTCAGTTGCATTGTGCCTTGAATCAATCTGCCAGGCTTCCCAGGCTCTCCTTAACTGTATAGCTGCAAAGAATCTAGAAAGCTAGTCTTCAAGTATTGCACAACCCTCAGAAGATACCAGGAAGTTGGGAAAGGCAACAAGGGCATTGAAGCCTCTTTCTGACTTTGGAACAACCTTCACCCCTCCAAAAAAACCTTTATACCCACGAATGGGTCAACATTAGCTTGGCTGCAGGGATGGGGGAATAATCATATCCTCGACCTTCTTTTGTGTGTTACATTGTTTTTGAAGCTCAACTTTTCTGAATGTTGTTTGTTAAATTTGTTTTTGTTCTCATGGTTTCTCTTCAGGCTTCTGTTGAGAGTGCTCCTGTTTAACAAAAGCTGAGCGATTCTATACTGAGCATGACACAGTATTGATAACAGTTACAGCTCACCAGAGCTGACTTCCCAAAGCTCCCCACAACTACTTAAGCCAGAAAATCTTTTGATGGCTTATCTTCAGATTCTGCCCTGGTCACCTAGGAAAGGGCAATGCTTGCAGCAAAACAGACCCGTTTCAAGTATGAGAGCCTGCCATTTACAGAGTAATATTGCTAGATCAAGTGAGGTTTGGGAAATCTTGGGGAGACGGTAACTAAGAATTCATCACAGGATGTGCTTTTAAAGATTGTTCTGCGTCAGCTGCAGGATGCCTCTTCTGCTGTTGCCATACTTGCTCCACTTATATGTGATGTTTCTCAAAAGTGTCCCCCAGAATGAGCATTATTTATAGAAAATAAACTTGGGAGGAGTTCACAATGGGGGGTGGATGGAAATGAAAGCTGCTGTACAATTTGGTGTGCCTGATACAAATTTGTGATTTGAATGCCTTTTGGGGAAGGAAATAATTCCTTTTAAAAGATGAATTTCAACTAGAGCAAACTCTTATCTGGGGTAAGTTCTTTGGAAACTGCACCTTAATCCTATTCTGAAATGTGCCCAAAATTGTGATTGTGATCCATTCAATTGTCACATTTCTGCAAAAAACATTTTCCAGAAGCAGTGTGTTAAAATATGAACAAATAAGAAAACTAACAAACTATGCCTTTGCTTCACATTTTTCCCCCCAATGAGCATTACTAAATTACTAAGTCACTTTCCCTATCTTCCTGTAATTGATATTGAGCTATGGCAAAAACTACTTTCCAGCCATATTCTCCAGCAACCTTTTTCTTTTTCCTGTTTTTTGCTGGAATCATGTGCCTGCTTTATTGAGCCATAAAGATATTTATAATAGATATATATAAATACATTTTCTTGCAGTGGAGTTAGACTGTGACCCAAACAGTCTGTCTGGCCAGACATTTTCAGATCTTCCTCTGTTGTGTGCAGTTCAAAGCAGTTGCATTTCTTTTAAAAACTGCAAATTTATTCTGACAAATATTTTTGTTTGGGGGATTTGTAAAAAAAAAAAAACTTTATACCCTACAAAATGAATTATTTTTTCTTTCTTTCTGATTTAAATACATGTTAAAGAAAACCGTGACCATTTTGTTTCAAAACTAATGGCAAATGTGTTGTAAAGATTGTTTTGTTCTCTAGCTTACAAAAAGGTGCCAAAGTATATATGGTAAACTTTTTAAAAAGTAGAATTTAAAAAAACTTACGTTAGCTATGGTTTTACTTTCCTGATCTCTTTCAGATGCTTATTTTTCTGTTTGTGTGTATATATATGTGTGTCCTGGTCTCTTAACTTTTCCAAAGCAGAGCATCTGTCGTAACTTTCTTTTTAAGTCAAAATGTTTTTGGTTTTGTGCATTCTTAAAGTATCACTTTCATTTTTGAGCATTTCCTCCTTTAAAACAAAGTTCTAAGAGTACAGCAGCATTCAAAAATGTAATATACTTTTTGTATAAAGAAGTTATTCAGAAGAATACCTTTGGAGTTGGGTTGTGGGAGGAGGCACACATTTGTGGGAGGGAGAAATAACCTGTTCCTTCAAAAAAAATGTTCTACATACACAGGTCTGCAAATGGGGCATTGCATCCTTCAGTGCAAAAAAAAAAAGAGTGAAAATTTCAAAGTCAGTGGATGGGTACAGCAAGTCTTTCCTTTGGTAAATAATGTAAATATGTGTCCTTTAAAAAGAGTGAGTCTGTTATCTAGGTATTTTGTGTCATTTAATAAATAATAAACAGTTTTGTGTTGCTAAACTCTTCATTTTGTCATGTGGTGTGGAATGTGTGCCATGTACATTTGGGAGTGTTAAATGTGTTGTTTTCTCTTGACCGCTTACAAATTCATAAGAATTCTCACAGCCAAAAAAGTTGCACCTGAACCAACCCAAAGAAAGCACTTAAACTAGTTTGGCATTACATGTAAGTTTCAGCTTCATGCACACTTTCCTGCCCTCTTCCCCTGTACTTCCCTCTTCAGAGCAAACCATAGTTTGCTGCTCAATCCAAGCTACCAAATTATGGTTTGTGCTTCCTTCCCACCAAACCAGAATTGCAAGCCAAAATTTGATACTAGTTTCAAGGGGAAGGGTCAACTGTAGTTTACCACTTTGGGAAGAAATGTCAGACAGCTTTGTTGCAGAAGGAATTGGAAAGGGGGGGCACTCACATTCCAGAGTTGCTTGTGCCATGCACAAGTGCCATGCACACGCGACTCAAGTTTTTGTCTTATTCTTTGAACTTATACAGCCTTGTAAAATTGCCTCCTTTCTTGGCTGCTGGACACAAGGAGGTCTGTACCAAAAACTGTTGCAGTGCCATTGTGCAGGTGTGCATACCACATTGATGCTGTCTTTAGGCCTGCTTGCCCACTCCTTGGTGGTTCTTAAGAAGGTTGCTTTAGTGTGGGTAAACATCTGGCTAAACTTAATTTGATTTTAGATACAGCTGTTTTCAAGGCCAAAAGCCCAATAAAATAGCATTTTCACATAGCATTTCTAGCCATTATAATAGTAATTCTTAGATGACAGAAGAGACATGGGGTTGGTTCCCTATGTCTATAAGAACCCCCTGAGGCTGGTTCCTTTGTATTTCCAGGAAGATCAACTGCAGATTGAAATCAATGAATGTGGGTAAAGCAAATGACCTGGGCTCCTTGTCCCGGCATAGTATGCACTCATTGTGTATTTTGGATGTAACATACAGAGAAGACTTAAATGAACTTTCAAAAGCTGCACAGATCCCTGTGCCAGGAAAAACCTGGTTCCATCGTCACCCACCTGCTTAAAGTTAGCCAGCCATATGGGCCAACAACTGCTGACCTAGCCAAGATTTGTTAAGCCCAGGGGCCAAATGTGATCCTCCAGGTGTCAGAAGCCACAATTGGGCAGGTCAGCAGTAAAACACCCAGTGTTGGTGAAGCTAATTGATTATTCCAGGGGTCGGCAACTTAAGGCCCATGAACCACAAACGGCCCACAGGAGTTGTTTAACCGGCCCTGAGCTACCCGCTTGGCGAGTCCCTGCGCGCTGTGCTAAACTGGCACAGCATGGGGACTTGCTTCTGCGGCGCCAGAAATCGCAGACGTGCACGCTCACAATCCAGCCCACGGAGCGGACTGCTGAAGTGAACTGGTCCGGGCAAGGTAAACCTTGCCAACCCCTGCATTATTCAAAGAAATCAAAACAATGCAGTGATAACAGCAACTTTTATCAGTAGGTCTTTCCCCAGTGAGGCAGATGCGAGGACTGAAGGTCCCTGGCTTCTAATGCTCCTTCACCTGGTCCCTCTTGCACCACCCTCTTCATTTCTCTGCATGTTCTGAGAGACCGGGGGGGGGGAGAGGAGCTGGTTGCATTAGGATGAGATTCCCTGACTTCTTCAGCAACCCGCCTCCACTCTGCCTGTTGGCCCCACACCACCTGCCTCTGAACCCCTCTGTGCCCCAGTCTCCTCCTCTTCACTAAACCCTGTTGCCTCTTCAGGTTATGGCACTTCCTCCCATCTGCTCCCTCTTCTCCCTCTGATCACTGATCTTCCCACCTCACTCCCCTGGCTCTGAGCCTTCTTCCCCTGCCTCCCACCACTCCTCTGCATCCAGGCAGTCCACCATGGGCATCACCAGGATTTTTGTTAAGGGGGGGCAGTCAAAGTTGTTGAGCTTTTTTCTTTCCTTTTAAGGAAATGGGACATGCAGTCCATGACACCAGGTCTCTGCCCATTGACTAGTTGTTTTATTTGTTCTGTTTAATGCCCTCTTGTGTGGTTGAACAGAGGATGCTTGCCACTTTCCTCCCCCCCCCCCCGACTTATGTGCAGGAGAAATTAACAGAAACCACCAGCAGCAGTCTTTTGTGACACCGGCTGGCTTGGAGTATTGAGGTCACAGAGCTGAGCAAAGCCTAGCAGCTTGGTAATCATCCTGAAAGGCAGACCTTGCCTCCTAAGAGGATTAAGTCGACTGGAAAGTGGTTCTGAATGACACTTCCGATGAGTTTCAGCATAGTCATGAATCACAAATTCTAGAGGGAATAAAATGATTGCAGGCAACTAGCTAGAACCCATTGGTGGTTATAGTCCTTTTACATGGCTAAAGGCTGTAGCACAGTACTGCATGCAATGAAGTCACAAAGTCTCATTTGCAGTTGTTGTTGTTGTTAAATACTGCCCATTGGTTGATAGGAGACCTGGGTTGATGCTTGCCTGGCACTGCAAAAGTAGGGGGTAGGGATTGTTGCCAAATACCTGGTGCATCACAAGTCAGTCTATTATGGTGCTAACAGACAAGGAATGTCTGGAGTGAGGATTTATCTATTGTCAAACGTACACTTACAAGTTAGGGGAAAGCAAGTCCATCAGTAGCATGCCTGTCAGTTACTTCTAGGTGTGCACACAGTGAAGCAGTTTCTACAACAGAGGCCCCGCCCCTGTTCTCAGCTTATGTATCTCCCCCCCCCCCAAAAAAAAAAAGCTGCATGCAAGCTTTTGCTCCTCCCGCTTCAATCCTCTTCTGGTCCTGGGGGAGATAGGTGGGAGCAGGAGGAAGAGGTGTGGCAGCCCTGGACTCTACACCAGCTGGACCTTTCTCTCTCTCCCTTCTGCACCTGTTCTTCACCTGCCAATCCTGCAACTTCTCCTGCCTCTGACTCTCATCTCTTAGCTGTTACAGGTCCCCTCAGTTCACCAATCCTTTCTTCCAAGTCAGCCTCCAACCCCCACTTCTCCTGGTGCACACTTATCAAAATCCAGCCACAGCTCCTCAATGTCCACCCAGGCTCTGACAGAAGATTTGCTCCCTGCCTTGCAGGCCTCTTCCCACCTGGGAAGACAGGACCCTGACTGACTCCAGCTGCAAAAGCTGAGGCTGCTGAACTATGACTGGGAGGGCTTGGTATTGATCACAGTGGCATTCTCAAGGAGGGAGAGGGAGAGAGGGGCAGGAATGTGTGCTGCGGTGGCAGCACTAATCCAAGGTAGGTACAGAAGATGCTGAAGGGGCTTCAGAGATTGCACTGAGCATAGCCAAGTTTAGAATGATCAGGTGGTGGGAAACTGCTGCCAGTCAGATGAGATACTACTAGCCTTGATCATCCCCCACATCTGTAATATTTGGGCATAATATTCCTAAATTGTCTTCCAGGGTTGCTGCAAGGAGCATAATGCACACAAAATGTATTAAACACTTGAAAGCACAATACAAATATTAAGTACTATAATCAAACAATCTGACCTGGTATAGGGAAAATTCCTGTGACATGATCCACCAGTTGTTAAAATATTAATACAGGGGCATATGGGGTGTTAGGGGAGGAGGAGTAGTTCTGGTGGGGGACATAGTGTGCTCCTTAGAGGGTAGCTTGGTCCACACCCTGCACTCAGCTCTCACCTGTGCTCCTAGAAACTGTCAGCATGCGACAGTGGCCATAAAAAAAGGTAAAGGTACCCCTGCCCGTACGGGCCAGTCTTGACAGACTCTAGGGTTGTGCGCCCATCTCACTCAAGAGGCCGGGGGCCAGTGCTGTCCGGAGACACTTCCGGGTCACGTGGCCAGCATGACATCGCTGCTCTGGCGAGCCAGAGCCGCACACGGAACACCGTTTACCTTCCCGCTAGTAAGCGGTCCCTATTTATCTACTTGCACTTAAGAGTGCTTTCGAACTGCTAGGTTGGCAGGCGCTGGGACCGAACAACGGGAGCGCACCCCGCCGCGGGGATTCGAACCACCGACCTTTCGATCGGCAAGCCCTAGGCGTTGAGGCTTTTACCCACAGCGCCACCCGCGTCCCAACAGTGGCCATACCCAAGGAATAATTAGGGATGTGTGCCAAGAAGCCACATTAAAAGGCTTCAGGAAGGACCAGAAACCAGCAAGCGTCTCTCCCTCACCACACCTCTGCCTCTTCTGATTACTCTCTGTCTCCATGCCTACAGCCTCACATTCACGAAGCATGGTAAGACACTGACCACCAGTGGCGAAGAAGAGAATATCAGAGGCATGTAACCCCATAGTCGCCTTTGACTGCACTTGACCATCCAGGGGGTCCTTTACCTTTTTTTACCCTGTTTACAGAGCTGATTCACTGTGGAGCAGCCATTGTTAGGAGCATCCTATCTGGTGAAGTTAGAATTTCAGCAACAGTACAGTTCCACATCAGTATTTTATTTTATTTTATTATTATCCCTAGATGCTACCAATCAAGCCTGGCATGGATAATTCTTTCCACTTCTGCAATGCATTTCTGAGCGTGCTGCCCCCCCCCCCCAAATAAGACTTCAGTGGACTTTACAAATATGTGTGCTTAGGATTGCCGCTTTCATATGCTTGGTGTAAACCGCATGGATCTCAGCTGGACTTACTCAGTAAACATGCATAAAATTGGACTTTATCCTTTATGCAAGTACTGTATTATCACCACAAAGGTGGTTCCAACAAATTGGAAGTTTCCCTTTGTCTCTACCTTGGTCTTCCATCTGTGAAAGTAGGATCATGATACTCTTGAAGAGAAAATATAGATGAACACTTTAAGTACTGTATATAATTGTTGATTTATATTAGCATCTTCTCCTTTTTACTGTCATGGTGGTTGTTTACTCCTAAATGTAATAAATGTGTTTCATAATATCAACCTGAATTCCTAGGTATCTAAATAAATGCATCCCCCCCAAAAAGGGGTTACTTAAAATAAATTACAGCATATTTGTTAGTGTGTAAAAGCACAAAAACAAAAGACCATTGTCTGTCCACTTGGGAATTCAGGTTTCACATAAACTGCTTTTTGTATACATCTCTCTCCTGATCTGCTAAGGGTGCGAAAGTGCCGGAGCCCATCAGCCGTGCTGCCGACCTTTACAATTTCAAATACTGTATACAAAACATACACTGCAAACACCCACACCCACATGCACATACAAGAAGCACTTTCTCGTGATGTGAGTTGCAAACTGCAGCCTGAAATCTATTTTTTGCTGTTGTTGACACCCGATCTCGTTACCCCCGCACAACAACACCAGCCCCTTTATTTGCAATTATTACAGAAGCTGCACGTGACGGGACAGTGGGCGGCGGGATGTGTCTTATAACTCAGCATTTTCTCTCTGTGGTTTGTTTGGTTTAATTGTTTGGTTGACTTTCTTTCAAAACACCGCTGTTGGTTCTTGTCATCACCGTGCTGTTTAGGTGTAGTGTGTCAGCCATACTCAGGAGAACCACTCAAATTAGAAATAGCGTGACTTACTCAGGTTTGTTCTGAGTAGAATTTAGCTCAGGGGTGAGCAAACTTTTTCCACAGGGGGCCCTCAGACCATGTGGGGGGCCAGACTATATTTTGAAGGGGGGAAATGTAAATATGCATGCTTCTACTTCTCAGAGGTCCAATATTGCTCTATTTCCAGTCCTTGTTTTGCTGATTTCATTTAATATTCTAATTTTCTGAGATTGTTAATTTGGGGTTTTCATCAGCTGTATAATCACAATTATAACAAATAAAGGCTTGACATATCTCGCTTTGCATGTCATGAGTCTATCTCATATGTTAGTTTCACCTTTTAAGTTGAATTACTGAAATAAATGAACTTTCCCACGATATTCTAATTTTTCGAGTTTCACCTGTATACACGTATTATGGCTCTGGGAATGTCATGGGATAGCCTTGGTGAAACTGCCATAGCTAACAGCCTTCTGCCTCGCATAGGGGGTGGGTTGGCAGTTCTGGGGCTTCCTGACTTTGTCTCATTTTACCTTTGCATGTGGACCCCTGGAACTGAACCCTCGTGTAAGTGGCAGGCCCTCTGTATGTGCATGCCTGTGTAGGTTGACAAAGTCTTGTGGCCTCTCATATAGATATGTACATATTCTGCATGTTTGTACACGCTTCCGGGCTTCCGGTGTGGATCTGGTTAGCCACTGAGAGAATAGAATGCTGGCCTAGATGGGCCTTTGGCCTGATCCAGTAGATTTCTTTAGACACATACACACACGGAAGTGAATGCAGGTATGAATACAGGTATTCAGACTCGGATAAGTCTTGCTACCCACCCATCAAGGTTGTCCCTGAGCGAACCCTTATGCATCTCATTCCCCCAGGGGAGGACTTTGGTAATGTGATGCCCTGAGTAAGGACAAAATCTGGCACGCGCCTGCTAATTATTCCTTATTTTCACAATAATTCATTTTGGCGCAGTTGTTTTTAAAATGGATATTCTCAGTACTGTATTGTCATCATTTTGCATCCCTTCGGCTTGGTGCCCAGTAAGGGTGGCACAACCTTAAATCCGGTGCTGGATGCATCCTTAATAAACTTTTTGGTTTTTAATATGTCTGAAGACTGTTGTTTCTGTTGCAATAAGCACAGCTAACTTTCTGGAAATTCACAAAACAGCTCTGAATGACAGGTGTTCTGGCCTTGGTAAGCCACTTAGCACAGATACTGTAGTGTGATTAAACACACACACACACACACACACACAGAGGGACAGAGAGAGAGAGAGAGAGTGCACATACATACACACCTTGTCTCTTTTTGTCTACAACTCATATGTAGATCTGGATGCGCTTTAATCTCTCGTGCTATTATTTTTAAAAAGATTATGTTTGTTTTTAACTGGGGTTTTTTGTGTATACTTTTTAGTATATCTTGCAAACCACTTGGTTTTACTACAATCAAGTGATATACAGATTTTATTAAATAAAATAATGAGAGGTTAGGTGTATTTAATATGCCTATAATATTTCTTTTGCCTAACCTAAGAGGAAAAGGTCCCTGCCCCCAGGCGCTTCCAGTGTAAAATACAGGTAAGCGGTAACAACTAAGAGTACGTGTTGTTGCTTTATCATTTAAAACAAAACCGATCTCTGTGTCTTACTATTTTTGTAGCGCTTCCCCTTCCCCTTTATAGCCCTTCAACAAAGCTTTTAACAACGTGGAAGAGGAGATAGGGTGGGCTTGGTACAGGGCTTAATGCACGGGCTAGTTTTATTGTAATTATTTGTACGTTTTAAACAGATTTTATATCCGTATATACTGTCTTAATTCAATTAAGAACCGTTAGCGGTTCTTTTTTTTTAATCAGTTAGCCGCCTAGAGTCCCGTCAGGCGGAGTTTAATAAACAAAGACAATCTTAACAGCAACAGTGAGGAAGGGAAGAGGATGACAGCCTGTAAACAATCACGCGCAGCCCAACGTCACCCTCCCTCGCTGGTTGCCGGAGAAGCAGCTGAGGCTGTGAACCACAAAGACGGTGGCGGGGCGGGGTCGGCATCGTGATTGGCTGCCGCCGCGAGGCCACGCCCAGCGACTCCTCCTCCTCCCTCCTCCGCCCCGTTCGCTCGTTCTACTCAGGTGACTGGCATCGAGGTCGCCGTCGCCACCTGCGCCTGCCCGCTCGTTTCTTCCGGCTCCGAGGAAGCCGCTTCTCCGCCGCCGGCATGGAGACGCAGCGCTCAGCCGCCGGTCGCCTCCCGCGCGCTCTCTTCTGCGCCCTCGTCCTCTTCTTGCTCGAAGGATCAGGTGAGCGCCGGCTCTGGGAGGAAAGCGGGGCTGAAACGGCTGCGGGGGGGGGGAGGGGCAGTGGGATTGGATAGACAACCCACTCCACCAAAAAAAGAGCTGGAAGGGACCCCAAGGGTCATCTACTCCAACCCCATTGCAATATGCGGGAATCCCGCCCACAGGTGCCCCTGGGTGGTTTCGAACCACCAGCCTTCTGGTGTTTACAAGCAGACGCACACACACTGCACCGCAGAGAACCCAGACTGAAGCTGGGAGGGTGCCTGTTGGGCTTCTGTGTGAGTCACCAGACTGCTTTGTGTCCGTCGCCATTGTGTTGTGTCCGTCGCCATAACAACAACAACAACAACAACAACAACAATAATAATAATATTGTGTTGATAGAAGTAGCATCTAGGTTTTTTGAGCTGCTGGAGAACAGAAGCTCTTGAAATGACTTGCGAGCTTCAAGCTGGGAGGGTGCCTGTTGGCCCCCTTCATGAATCTTAATCACAGAATTGTAGAGTTGGAAGGGGCCACGGGGGTCATCTAGTCCAACCCCTTTCAGTGCAGGAAGCAATGACTTAATCATAGAATTGTAGAGTTGGGAGGGACCATGAAAGTAATCTAGTCCAATCTCCTGTAGTGCTAGAATCCTTTGCCCAACATGGGGCTTGAACCACAGGTGGAATCTACACACATATTAAAAAAAACTCTGTGAAGATGCTTTTTTAAAATAATAATAATAAAAATTTTGAAAAATACATTGAATTTTGCATAGCTTGCTCTTGCCATGTAGTATCACATTTGTATATTGCACTTTCAACACATTTTATTTGCAGCTGCGTAGATGAGTTAAGATCTTCATGCTCTACCTCCTGGGCTATCTCAGCTGTCCAGCCTTCCTCTCTGCGACTAGTGCATCCTGGATATTCAGCTGCTGAATTTAGCAGATCAAGAAGAATGGGCTGTCTTCAGGGGAGGCTCACCTGCTACACCCCTGCTTGAGTGGGTGTTCCAGGCTTGCTTGCTTCCCCCAGTTGTTCATTATTGGGGATGTGGGGTTTGGTCTATCCATGCACTATATTGAACAGGAATGGACCACTGCTGCTAGTGATGCTGAGGTGCACATCAACACTGGCTACTCCAAGGAAGGAGATGGCCTGTGTTGTACAGTATGTGTCTGCATTACCTGGCAGGGCTTGTTAGCCTCCCAGGAGAACTCTGCTGGTGTGCCTCTACCTTGAGAGCAGCTGAGTGATTCAGTTGTCAGTTGCCTTCTTCCATCTCTCTATTGGGAGGGTATTCAGTCATTTGATTTGTATGGATGTTCATCAAAATCAGTTATTGCATCCTCTGCCTAGATTGAGACTTGCCTCTTTCCTGTGGGAGATGTGCTCAGCACAGTGGAGTGTGCAGAAATGCAGGAAATTGGGTAACTGCTGCTCCTCCCTGCTAAAAGTGAACTTTAGGATCAGGAGTGAACTGTGCCTTCAGTCAAAAAGTTGGGGTGTATTCAGGATTGGGAGGGGCTGTAGCATGGGGCAGAGGAATATCTGAAAAGTAAAGGTCAGGTAAGGAGCCATTTTGGAAATAGGTTGACATATTATATCTTCCTAGCCCTTTGAAAATTCTAACCTGCTTCTCGGCCAAGTAAGGCTCCAGAGGTAGCTCCAGTTAATTAAAAAATAGAAACCTTGGAATTATAACTTCTAAAGCATACTCTTGAAAGCACTGAAGAAAAACTAAAGATAAGCATTTCTTTTCTTTTCAAATAATGACAGGGCAGCAAAGCTAACTCTGAAATGTTAAGATTGTAGTCCTAAGCATTCTTGCCCCCAAGAAGTAAGCTTTGCTGAATTTGGAACTTGCTCTCCAGTAAACATGATTAAATGTTACTCAGGCGGTGAATAACTGAACTGTCCATAACTTGCCCAGTTAAAAGCATGATTACCTGGATTTTGAGATGGGCCCATAAAGTTCTCCTCTCAAATGGTAAACAAAAAAAGTGTGGGTATTGCACTTTACTACCTTAATGAGAGTGCAGAAAACAATGTTTTGTTATATGTGCAGATGTTCTTTAAACACTTGACATGGCACTAAGGCATTGCTGTCTGCTAAGAGCAGGACATAGTCTTCAGGGGGTCATAGCTTGGTGGTTAGAGCATCTGCAATGTATGCACAGAGATTCCTCACAAATCCAGTTTAAAGGCTCTTGAGAAAGAATCTGAAGAGCTGTTGCCAGAAAAGACAACTACTGTGATGGATGGACCATTGTTCTAATTTGGCTTAAGGCAGCAACATGTCCTAGTTTAAGAAGCGAAGCGCGAAGCTTTCCCATACCTACATATGAGTTAAACATGGCTTGAGTATGTTGCAGCAATGTTTTATCAGTCAAGATCTCTTACAAAAAGAGTTAGCTGGTTGAAATAAAGCGACTTCAGAAGAACCTTGGGGTTCTATGCTGATGCTCTTGCATTTGGTGAACCAAAGTCCCCAGTCATTCTCAGGCTCCCAAGACACGTGGGAACAGGACTAAGGTTTACTCACTGTAAAGATCCAGAATCAAACATACTCTCATGCGTCACTCACATTGTGGTTTGCTCTTAAGCAAAAGAGAAAGCTGGTTTCTTTGGAGACCCCTTACCAGAAAGTTAAACTCATAGCACAGAGAAACAGTTTCAATGACAAATGGCCCCTCTTCAGATGAGCAGCTGAAAAAGCCTACCTATCGCCGTCTTTAAAAGATCATGTACTGTAGTGTCATTACTCTGCCCTAAAGATCTGGCATAATCTGTGTCCTCCATCAGCAGAAGGAAGTCACAGTTGCAAGTCAGAGTTACAAATGCTAAGCTTGTAGCCATGGAAAGAATAACAGTGGGTTTTACAAATGTAGTGATCATTCTTCCAGAATAAATTTTGATGTGGGTGTTGGCAGCTGGGAAAGGGGAGGAGAGAAAGCATGCTTGGGAACAAATGGTTGTAAAATTGAAATTCGTGCTTCTACAACAGCCTTCTCAACCTGGTGACCTCCAGATGTTTTGCACAACAGCTCCCATCATTCCTGACCATGGCCCATGGTGGCTGGGGCTGATGGGAATCAGAGTCCAGCAGTATCTGAAGGCTGTTGGAATGGGGAAAGCTGCAGAAGAACTGTTTCTTCCACTTTAGTTACCTTTAAAAACGCTTGATATAAATACTGCCTGCAGGTGTGTTTTGTTTTGTTTTAAATGTGGTGATTCAGTCCTTTGTTTAAATATCACCATGTCCAGATATCTGGTAGACAGCTTCAGACAAGCAGCCATCCCTTGACACATATTTCATAACACTAACCTACACTTCCTGTTCTGTAAGAATTAGCAAGAATGTATGGTGTGCCTTGGCTGGGATTAGATAGGAAATGTGTTTTTATTTAAAGTTGATGGGCATGTTATCATGCCTTATAATAATGGTTTTAGCAGGTAATATTATTTTGCAAGCTTAATGTAGTTAATAAGACTTCTCAGGTTGCCCTGTAGTTGGCAGGAAAACAGAATGAATACTTCTAAGTTCACTTAAATGGTGAACCCCAATGTGTTTGCCGTTTTGGATAGGTGATTGGGATAGGTGAGTGGACCTAGGTCTATGCATTGGGTTTCCAACAAAATCCCCTTGTATCTATGGCTCTTACCCTACACTCACCCACTCTTTGGGTACTTGAGCTACTTTCTCCGAAAAAGGCTTATTTAATCCCTTCTCCTACTCATTCTCCTGGAGTAAAGGACCATCTACTCACTGCTGTACACAAGCAAGCATTGAGGTTAACAGCTGGGAGTGCTCTAAAGCTCTTCGGAAGCCTCTTTTGGGTAAGGTGGAAAAACACTTCATATCTCCCGCCCCTTAAATGACCACATCTCTCCTTGCTCCCCTTTCCTTCTAATTATATCTGCACATCATTAATGAATAAAGAATGGACAAATGAAAGGGACAGACGGACGAATGCAAACCGTAGAAATGGGTTCTGCTTTGTAATGCTGCAAATGCAAATGTAATGTATCCAGTGTTAGTCCTACACAGAGTAGACCCATTGAAAATGAACATGACTAATCTAGGTCCGCTAATTTCAGTCTGTCTGCTTTTGAAACCCAGTTTTCCCTTTCTGCTAGCACAAGAGGCTCTGTGTCTCTAAAGAAGTGGCTCACACAAAATGCTACCCAAAAGCACTAAGGTCCCACAGAAGCATTTTGGAGTTCCACCAGTAAGATCAGCGATGGTGTTCCTCTGAAAGACAGCTTGCTTTCCACTGCTAATGTCCCTCTGTCATGTGCTGCTGCAGAGGATTATTCAGGACCATTTTATTGTGTAAAAATGTAAGCCTGTCAAAGGAGCCTGAATGCAAAGTGTGAGTTTCTAGAGATGATTATAACACATTGTCTAATGAGCAAACAATATTCTAGTTGTTTACCAGGCTTATGCTGTGGATGTAGAAGTGAAAGATGCATCCAATGAGACATGCCTATTTGGAAGATGGATTATGAGCTTCTCTATAACATATGAAACTGAACACAATGAATATGTAAGTATCTAACCTGTTATTGAAACTTTCAAAATCTAGTGTATGTGTGTGTAAACATATGCTTCCATATTAAGTATGTGCCATGAATAGTTCCTATTTGGGTATCTTAATTCTAAAATATATTAGCATTGCACTTTAATTCCTAATTAAGATGCTATTTCAGCACGAGCAAGATATACCTACTAGTGTTAAAATATTTCTTGCTAAATTTAATATCCCACTCTTCTCTTAGGTGATGGTGACTGACCCAAAGTCATATAGTGAGCTTCATAACTGGTCATAGGGTTTCAGCCTGGTTCTCTCCAGTCTCAGTACCATAGCTGTCAACTTTTCCCTATTCGGAATAAGGGAATTTCCCTTTAAAAAAAGGGAAACGTTGACAGCTATGCTCAGTACAGCAGACCTGGGTTCTACAATCCTGATAGTAGTGTTTGTTGCAGCTTTAGGGTTTGATTGGAGCTTGGCCAACTTTCAACGTCTCCCTCCCCCAAAATACTTGTACATTATACCTCCCCCAGGCACCTGCATCAAGCATTCAGACCCCACCCCCCTATACATACACTTTCTCATAGGCAAGCAAACAAATGCATACATGCAGCCACAACTGGTAATTTTAGCCTTCCCCACTCCAACGCTGTGGTGGAGGTGACAAGCGGCATCCCTGTTTAGACAAGATCTCTAAAGAGGCAGAGGCATTTTATCTCCCCATCTAGCACTAAGCATCATAGCACCAAATTCCGAGATAAGCCCCTATACCTGCTCATGAATTGTAAAAGGCAGCATTTCTACCTACCCCAGTGCTGGGGTGGGGAAAATTCTGCCATTTAGTCTCAGAAGAACAGGCAGAGAGCTCATATAAGAGACATAAGAGATTGCTTTAGTTGTTCCACACTGATGCTTGGTAATTGGCAGATAGGTCTGGTTTCCCTCCCCAAATGCCCTACAGGCCAAATGCGAGGAATCTGGTGGGCCTAGGTAGGTCCACTCACTCGCCAGAGGTTCCCCACAACTGCACAGCACCATCTTTGGCAACACCCTGGAAGAAAAATCCCTTTAAAATCGGCTTAAAAGCAGTGCAGTAAATGGGTTGCATTTAAATGGATGTACCAAATCTAACAAAAGGGATTGTCTTGGATATAGGTAGGAGAACTTGAATTCTATTCCAAAACTCAAGCACAGTACAGTTGTACCTTGGAAGTTGAATGGAATCCATTCCAGTTTTTCCATTCGACTTCCAAAACGTTCGGAAACCAAAGCATGCAGGAGCAGCCAATCAGAAGCCCTGTAGGATGTTCCAGGTTTGCGATGTTCGGGAGCCAAAATGTTCAGGAACTAAGCTGTTTGAAAACCAAGGTATGTCTGTATATAGATGGCGCTTTCTAGAAAAAAGACAAAAGTCCTCCTGCTGATACTGGGAGTACTGGTCAGTGACTGCTGTCTGTTTTCTTCAAAATGTTTCAGAGAAACACAGTTCTTACGTTCCCTGAACATGTAAGGTATGATGGAAGCAGTTGTGACAACGAAATATCTGGCCCTGTGCTAGCAATAGAGTTTGGAGAAGGTCATTCTTGGAATATCAGCTTCACGAAAACAAACGACACCTATCAAGGGATCATCTCCTTCACCTACAACACCAATGATACAGCACTGTTTCCAGATGCTAAAATGAAAGGTAAAGGTGGTATTCCAAGTTACCCTGCAAAAGTTGTTGCAGCTCTTAACAGGGTGAACTCCTTACTTTAGAAATAAATGCCTTTTTTAAAATTCAGAGGCTGAATAATTCAAGTTTACAGCAAAACTAATTCATTACTTGAAAAATTTGCACAACTTTATATTTGTGAAAGTTCCATAGATGAGGATATTACATAGTAAGTGTTATATTGCAAAGCTTTGTATAATTCCAACCTATAGTTGCTGCTCCTTTCCACCATGTGGCCCAGAAGTCCCTGTGGTGGCATCTGGGCAAGGGCAGAGATTTTTTTTTAAAAAAGTATCAAAAGTGGCACTCTGTTTCCATGATCCTAGTCCTAGGCCCACTGCTATTCTTGCTCCCCTCCAACAATTGCCACCTCCCTGCAACTCTAGCTAGGATGGACTTGCTAGGTGTGGTGGTGGTGGTGGTGATGACGACGACGACGACGACAATAATAATAATAATAATAATAATAATAATAATAATAATAATAATAATTTATTTATACCCCACACATCTGGCTGGGCCTTCCCAGCTACTCTGGGCAGCTTCCAACAAAATATTAAAATACAATAGTGCATCAAACATTAAAAGCTTCCCTAAACAGGGCTGCCTTCAGATGTCTTCTAAAAGTCTGGTAGCTGTTGTTCTCTTTGACATCTGGGGGGAGGGCGTTCCACAGGGTTGGCGCCACTACCAAGAAGGCCCTGTGCCTGGTTCCCTGTAACTTGACTTTTTGCAGCGAGGGAACCACCAGAAGGCCATCGGAACTGGACCTCAGTGTATGGGCAGAACGATGGGGGCGGAGACGCTCCTTCAGGTATACTGGGCCGAGGCAGTTTATAAGCCTTTTAAATGCCTTCTAGTAAGACAAATTTAGGATTTGGTACATGATAAAACGTATTTTTGTAGTAAGATAGTCAGAATCTGGTCATCAGCCCATCCTGTTGGACCATCTAATCCAGTTCTCACCATAGCCAAACAGTTCCCTGTGGCAAACCAGCAAGCAGAGTTTGAGCATAAGACCACTCTTCCCCCCCTGTGGCTTCCAGCAACTGGAAACTTGATAGTTCAAACCATTATTGTCTTGAGCTAGGCTGTAGCCTACCATGGCTTATGCCATATTGGTTAGCCTTCAATTTAACCACAGAGCTTTTTGTAGCCAAAATTACAACTATGTACCTGAGACACACAAAGACCTGCTTGCTTGGCTTTAATGTTCATAATATCAGTTGTCTTAAAAGCATCTGTTATTTTTCTTTTTAATAGGACTAATTACCACCTCTACAAACTATCCTTTGCATCCAGTTGAACTAGACACAGTTTTCATTTGTCAAAATATGGACTTCGTTGAATCTGGCAGTGTTATACAGAACTTCCAGAATGTCGTTCTTGAGGCTTTTCTTCCGTCTGGCAACCTAAGTGACCAAAGTTAGTAGTTCATAGTCTTGTGCAAACATTTTCCCCTTCTACCCTAGGGGTTGGGGAACCTGTGCCCCTCCAGATGTTGTTGCACCACCACTCCTATAGCTTCAGCCTTCATGACCAGTGGTTGCAATCATGGGAGTTGTAGTCCGACAACGTTTGAAAGGCTCCTATTCTAGCAGTTTTACAAAGCTTCTGAAGAACTTTGCCAGTTTATCTAGTCAGCATATGTATTTGATTAGCTTCAGGTGCCCTATCTGAGTTTAGAGATCTGATGTGGGGACTGCTAAGGTGTTTTTTTTTGAGGCTTCTTGCTTCTTCTAGGAATGCATTTTTATTTTTATTTACTTTTCACTTCCAGAAAATAGGTTCTGTTGCTGTGGTTCCAGAGTGTTAATCTCTGGCACTCCTCTAGTTTAAAAAGTTGCTAGTTGGCCCTTACTGGTTGTCTCCTCTTTTGTGTGCACAAGCTGTAGGAACATAGGAAGCTGCCTTAAACAGAGGAAGACCATTGGGTCCATCAGCTCACTATTGTCTACACTGCCAGGCAGCAGCTCTCCATAATTTCAGGCAGCATCCTCTTCCAGCTGTACCAGGAGATGCTGGAGATTGAACCCAAGAACCTTCTGCATGCAAGGCAGGTGTTCTGCCACTGAGTTCTAGCCCTTTGATAGTCTTCATAGTTTGATAGTATCTTCATAGCTGGAAATAGGTGAACAGTTTGATGTTCTTCAGGGTCTGTGAATTTAGTTCTGTGCTGCTAGTGTATATATTTCTATTTTTCAGAGACTGTGTGCGATAAAGATGCTGTAGTCACCCCTGAGCCTGCTGTTCCTGATACCAGCTCCACTGACACCACCTCCATCACCAATACCACCTTCATCATCAATACCACCTCCATCACCAATACCGATACCAATACCGATACCAATACCAATACCAATACCAATGCCAATACCACCTCAATCACCAACGACACCACAGAGGAGGCTAACACAACAATTTTATCATCACGTTCCATCAGCCAACCAGATGAGATACCTGCCACAGGAACCTACTCTGTTAAAAGTGACACCGAGATCTGTCTTCTGGCAACCATGGGGCTGCAGCTGAACATGACAAATGTAATTATTTTAGTCAATGTTTTATCTATTGGGCACATAAGCTCTGGGTTCAGGGCATCTAACAAACTTAAACATAAATCGCTAACAAATGCATTTATTTATTTATTTATTTATTTAAAAAATCCATTAGCAGCAGATAAAACAGCAGAAAGACAGATTAAAGCCATAGAAAATGCAACAACTTGTAAGGTGTTGCATAAATCAAAAGGTGGATGATCCTCTCCCCGCCCCACACCTTTAGCTCTGCAACTGCTGGCTTGTATAGTTGTATGCTTGGTGAAAGGAATGCAGTTTGTGGTGTGTGTTTAGCAGGTGAAAGTGCCTTGGGATAGGACCTCCCAAAATCTTTGAAGACGGCATTCTGTTCTGCAAATTGTAAGTGCACAGCTCACCCACAGAGGGAGCCCAAGTGCATAAGGCTGAGAAGCTGGTGCTTGTTAAGGTACCAGTTTAGATCAGTTACTCTCCTTGGAACTGTAAAATGGAAGGGGAAATAAGCATCCCCTTTTATTCTTTTGGAATCTAGCAGTGCTGATCTGCTTGGATAGTCAAGCTAGTTCTACAACAGAGTATAGAAGCTATTCAGTGTTTATGAACAAGCATTTGACATTCTTTATGGGCATGGGGAAGGAAGGTGAAAGAAGCGTTGTGAGCTGCTTAATTTTCGGTTTGCTCTGGGTTTTCATTTCTTTATTAAATTCATTTATTGAATTTATATCGCACTGTTCTTCCCAAAGACTCCAATGAACATTAATCCAAACACAACTACAGCTAGCGGGCGTTGTGGCAATAGAACTTCTGTCCTCACCCTGACAGATACCGACATCGTGGTTGTCTTCACTTTTGCTGTCGTAAGTAACTCATTATTCTGTGTGCATGTATGTGGGAAATGAATTCAGCTTCATTGCAGGTTCTTGAAAACTTATTTCTCCATTCAGATTGCATCACCCTTTTACTGTTAGTCGCTCTCGCAAGAGCAGCATAACAACTCTGCTATTGTATTGGGAGGGGTTGCATGAGTGTTAAGAGCCCTATTTGTGCCTCTTACGAAAGTGCAGGAGGATAACCAGAAAGCAAACTTTTATTTTTTAAAAAACTCCTGCTGCGTGTTGACAAAGTCGCAGCAGTATTGCCAGGCACGGTTGACATAGGAAGCTGCCTTGTGCAGAGTCAGACCATTGCATCCATCTAGCTCAGCACTGTGTACACTGACTGGCAGCAGCTCTCCAGGGTTTCAAACAGGGGCCTCTCCTAGCCCTACCTACAGGTACTGAGGTCTGAACCTGGGACATTTTGCATGCAAGGCAGATGTTCCACCTCTGAGCTACAGCACACCCTTACATTGCAATTAAGTTTTACTTGCTATGTCACATGCCCTCAACTCCTAGTTTTTAAGGAAGAAGTTCAGCAGCTTGGTGATAAGCCATTGAAGAAAATCTCTTTTTCAAGATGACTAAGGAGGGAAGAAGCTTCTCTAGTGTCAAAACTGAGATTTATTAATGCTAATGTAAAGGTAAAGGGACCCCTAACCATTAGGTCCAGTCGCAGACAACTCTGAGGTTGCACGCTCATCTCGCTTTACTGACCAAGGGAGCCGGCGTACAGCTTCCGGGTCATGTGGCACATGACTAAGCCGCTTCTGGCGAACCAGAGCAGCGCACAGAAACGCCATTTACCTTCCCGCCGGAGTGGTACCTATTTATCTACTTGCACTTTGACGTGCTTTTGAGCTGCTAGGTTGGCAGGAGCAGGGACTGAGCAACGGGAGCTCACCCTGTCACGGGGATTCAAACTGCCGACCTTCTGATCAGCAAGTCCTAGGCTTTGTGGTTTAGCCCACAGCACCACCCGTTTATTGTTAAGTTGGGGCCCTAAAACTTCTTAAATTCTGTCTGATGCTGAACTAGAAAGTTTTGCAAAGGTATTTTTAGGTTGTATATGTAACTTGATGAATTGCTTGCTTAAACAGAAGAACACAAGCTTTGAAAGATTTTACCTGAAAGCGGTGGACGTCACTGTGACCAACCCTGTAAATGGTAAGATTCTAGCTGTAAGCTGTCAAGTCAGATCTTTTTATTGAGTCTCAATATTTAAGCAACATTTTAGTGTGCCAACACCTTGGTTGTACTTAGCTGGCTGTATGCATACTAGGGCTAATGCAAAGTTAAGGCCACTCTGCTTTGAGTCAAAGGTATCCTTGTGTGAGAAACTGAAAGGTAGATTTCACGGGCCATAAAATGCAGCGACTTTTTGGGGGTGGCTGTTTCCTTGCCACCCAAGATGGCAGTGTCAACAAGAGATCACCTTGTGGCATCAAGGCACCATGAGAAAATACCTTACTGCCTAAAAAATGCAAGTGGGTGCTCCCTCTGAAATTGTTCACAGAATTCAGACACCCACAAAATCAGCCAAGTTCTCCTTGTTTTGCCACACACAAATGGAGTAGCAAATTTGAGCATGGCATTTTACTACAGCCCTGATTTGAAAACTGATTATCCTCTAATAAATTCAATTCAGATCTCCTCATTTTGTACACATTTCACAGCAGGTAAATTTCCCCAGTTAATAGACCCCCTCAAACAAAACTGGCCTGCAGTAGTACTTTTAGAAATGGGAGCTTATAAACTGTACCCCTGCAAGTCTTCACGCAAACGTCTTTTTCCTCCACAGGAACGCAGTTTGCTGCAAGTGACAATCTCACTTTCTGGGAGGCCTCCCTCGGAAGCTCATACATGTGTCGAAAAAAGGAGACTCTTGTAGTGACTCCTTCATGTAGCCTGCACGTCTTCAACTTAAGGATCCAGCCATTTCAAGTACAGAATGGCCAGTTCTCCATAGGTAAGAATGAATCCCTCTCCCCATCCCCTCCCCCAGAAAAGCAGCCTTCGGAAGCTTTTGAGTTTAAAGACCAAAGTTTTAGATAGGTATAAAACAGCAAAGAAAACTCACTGTTCACTTTTCAAGTGATTTATTGAGCCCAGCAAGTGAGCCGTTTAATTTTATTTGACTTGTATATTGCTTTATGCTTAACTCTTAAATTTTTTTACAATATATAGATAATGCAATAAAATGCAATGAATAGTATCTTGGCTGGCTCTCAGGGAGCAATTGGATGCTGTGCAATAGTTAAACTTACAGCTGTGCTAGAAATAATGGAAATGCAGGTTTTGTCAAAAGTACTATTGGTGGGAGTGAGTATATCTTGACTAAATTGCTGCTGTTGAATTTGGGATCTGTAAGAGCTGGGGCAAAGCCCTCCCAGCTGCACCATTCCTATGGAGGGATATCCTGGCAGAGATCAACCTTGCAATTAAATAGTAAGCCTGTTTTATTTCAGCCAATAGCTTTCAGTTCTGACATAACCTGGGATTGTATTTGTGTACTGTTAGTGTGGTTCTAAGGTTACACTTATTTTTTGTTTTCTGAGAAGGGGAAATTATTTGAAGCATGGAGTGGATCTTAAAGAGCAAACCTGATTCAGACAAGTGCATGTCACGTTCTAGCCATTGGCAGGTGACTCTCCAAAAGCAGAGGCTTTTTCTATGTGGCATTTGTTCATTTATTCATTCATTTATTTGAATCTGGCTTGATGGTTAGCTTTCAAAAAGCCTTTGAGCCCGGTAGTTACAGAATAATAAATTTTAGGCATCAGACTTGCTTGTCACCTCCCCCCCAAAAAAACACAACTATATTGCAAGAGCAACAGTGATTAAAGATATAAATGTAAATTTGCTCCCCAACCCCCAACCCCAGTATTTCAGGATTCAGATAACATTTCTTTAAGGCATAATGTATTCTGCAATTAGGAATAAGCATCTTTTATTTACCGCAAAAATCGATCTACTATAATATAGAAAAATAGATTTTTCCTTTATAGCATTCATAGTTTTTATAGCCATAATCAGGGTTAATCTTGACATGCTACCTGTGAGCTCCCCAAAAATGAATTCTAAACTTGCTTCATTCTCCATACCCACAAAATCCTTTCTACAGCCGAAAGATTTTAATTTAATTGGATGAACCAGTGTCCCAGTACATGAATTCAACCCTTGATCTAAACTAGTGCTAGGAAACGAGGCCCTTTGGTGCAATCTTTTGGTATTTCCATCAGTCATCTAAGGTGAAAATTGTTGGCTTTAAAAAAGGGGATTAGTCAAGTTAATGAAGGATAAGCCTGCCTGTGACTGCCAACCCTGATTCCTACATTCTCCCTCCACTCCCAGAAGCTGTATGCTTCTGAATACCAGTTGCTGTAAACAACAGGGTGTTATTGCACCCAGACACTTCCTGTGAGCTGCCCACGAGCATCTCCTGGTCACTGCAAGAACAGGATGCTCGACTGATCCATCAGGATTCTTTTTAATGTTCTTATGACAAGCATTTGATTTCTAACAAAATTTTCTTGTAAGCTTAGTAACTTCAGGCATATATCTGCAAATTTTGAATCATTTTAGTTATCTAATAAATCTTCTGTTTTCCAAGTCTAGAGAGGGTTGGGATAACTTGGTTGTTTGTCAGACCAAAGGCCAGAATTCTAGCATGTAGGATTGTAATGCTGCTCGCATAAAGGCGAAGGCATAGCTCTTGGCAGACATCATATATATATTTTCTCCCACCTTTCTTGTCTACAGCACGAGAATGTTTGCTGGATGATGACACCTATCTAATCCCAGTTATAGTTGGCGCTGGTCTTATGGGCTTGATTATGCTTATAGTGATTGCTTACGCGCTTGGCAGAAGACAAAGCCAACCCGGATATCAAACCTTGTAAATTTTGTGTGACTTGTTCTTGGCTTTGGCTGTGATGTCTAAAGAAAAGTGCAAGCTCCCAAATGGAAACCAGCCACCAAAAAGGTCCACGATTCTCTCCTCCTTAAAACTGTGGAGATGGCCCCCCAAAACAAAACATGATCAAGAACGTACCTCTTCTGAACATAATAAGGACATCATAAGAATGTATTGGGACTGACTAATGGCCATGGCAAAACCAGCCCATGGAAAATTAACCTTGCAAATACGTTTGTGTGCGAATTTCATGTGTGGAAATATACCTGCAAAACAGGCAATGGTACAAAAAGGAATTATACTTAGGGTGACCCACTTAGAGTATCAGAACAGCATGGAAAAGCTGGGGTTTATACTTACTGCTTTGTACACTCCATCCTTTACAACTGAAAGGTAACCTGGCTGACTTAGTGACTGTAGCCTAGGATACCAGCCAGGGGAGCTGTGCAGTGCTTAAGCGGCATTTTTCCAGCTCATTAAAATCCCTTTGTAGCCACCTCGGCCCAAACAATCCTGAATAATGCCGGCAAGGATGTAAAAGCTTTTCCTTTACTAGCACCATGGCACTAGTAACTTCTGAAGCTTGTAAATCCTAATTACTGTCCTGTCCTACCTGGTCATTTGGAAAACCGCAGAGCTGGATCTTGCGGGAGCTTAGTATTGCTTTCTTGCTATCTGCAGGGATAGAGGAGGAACCCTTCATCTTAGCAATTCTCATTCCTTTCTTTAAAATAAAAGAGAGAGAGAATCAGAGTTCAAAGTGCCCTTAACTTTTACAGCAAATAACTGGGCTTGCTGTTAAAAGTCTTTTGGTTCCATTGCAGCCATTGATACTGGCTTGAAGCTGTTAAAAGTCTGTTTATACTTGTGTGCTAAAAAGAAAATTATGTTCTTGGTTATACAATCTTGGATATTAAAAAAATAAGATTCATGATTATCACTACATTTGGGGCAAGCTGCTACCTGAAGTATACTGCCAGGGGCAGGGTGAGAAAACGTGATCAAAAATAAATTTCTGCTCTACATTTTGCAGCAAATGACTTTGGTGTACAATGTACTACTCAAGTTTCCAGTAAGAGATTTAGTTACATAAAAGACCACTGAAATACGTAGAGTTTCTGCAACAATTGATTCTCTAAATGTGTAGAGCACACTCCAAAAGTGAACTATCTGTTCTGAGAGTTTAAATTGTGCCTGTTCAGAACCACCTCGGATTGGAAACCTCTAGCCTAGATGAGTAAGAGTGGGATTCCCCTTAAATCAAGGATTAATTCACTGTGGCCCTTTAGCCCTCGTGGCTCATTATGTTAAGAATGAAGAGAGCAAGGTGGCAATCCCCACCCATGCTGCAATTTATCTGCTTGTGTTTCCTCCTCCAAACATAAATCAACTTGCTTAAATCACTCTTGTGAGCTGTCTGCTAGAAAAAGTCTTTCCTTGGCTTGGCAATCTGATGATTTTTGCATGTGTGTTTGTGTTAACCAGCTTACTGAATTTGTCATAGCAATTTGTCATTGCACATATGCCATAACAGATTTAGACCAGACGCAGTGAGTCAGAAATGATGGCAAAAATGTGTCCTGGAAAGCTAAGCAAAGTGCACACCTTCATCTTGAAGGTATAGAAATGCTTCTGCTAAGCACACGAGCTTTTCTACTTAAAACCTGTACAGCTTCAAAGTGACTGGTTTGTGTTAAAACACCTGAAACTTTAATGTCTGCTTTAATCTGTTGAAGCCACTGTCTTTCTTATATAATTGTATTTCTACGTAAGGACTTGATTGTCTGTGCACAAAATGCTTTAATAAAGAATCTTCTGTTCCTAAGGAAGCTTGGTCACATTGCTTGATTGAAAAGCTTTTCTGGAAAATCTCCTCAATCACCTTTGCCCTCTCTCTAAGGTTGGACAGTAGATTATGTGTTACTATAAAGCTTTGGTTTTCCAGATGGCTCCTTCCAGGTAACTTACCTGCTGATTGAATTATTGGTGCATCTATCATGGAAACCCTACAGAAGTCCTAGTATACCCACAGATTGGGGTGAGGGGCTGCTGTCCACTCTCTTTCGACTGCACCCTATAATGCATCCTGTGTCTGCTTTGCACAGCATAGAAGATGATCTGCAGTGGTGGGGAAACTGTCTCTTAAGAATGTTTTGTCCCTTGTCTTATCTCCATTTTTGAAACTCCACGGTTGCCTCTTTCTCCATTTTCCTGGAACACAGTTTGAAAGCTACTGCTGCAAGGGCTAAGCCAGATGACATCAACTCATCACTTGCAGTTAAAAATAGCAAAAGCTTGTGAGGGCAGGGGGAAGCATATGAGGATCGCAGAAGATGGGGAGGTTTAAAACTTTTCCTCCCTGATGCAATCCTGAGAAATTTAAGAACCCTAAAAAGTTGCTCCTGGTCTGGACAGAAAAGCCTCTGTTGGCACCAGTGCAGACTTCCTTGCGAGGGCTGATGCATCAGTTAAAAATAACAGAGTGGGGACATCAGGACCATGGCATGAGAGGAAAAGGTTAAACCTTCACTCCCCATGTTCTGTGGGCCTGGCAAATCCTTCCTTGCTATTTTTAACTAATATGATTGCAAGTCCAAAAGTTGGCTCTAAAAGCAGAGATGGCTAAAAGGTAGACTAAGTAGACCAGACAGAGTAAATAATCCTGGGCAAGCTGGACCTTGAGCTCATCCAGCAGGATACACTTACATGCAGCTTTTGCAATCCTGCAGAGTTTAAGTATGTAAGCTACGCAAGACTGGATTGTGGTTAGGATTAGACTCCTAAGAATCATTCCAGTGCAGACTATAATATTGCCTAAATCCTGCCTCTCCATAAATCCTGTTTATACACTTAGATGTCTTTAATACCATATTTTTATCCTTTCTGAAAAGAAACAGGAAGAGCTGGGGAAACCATGTTAATAGCTGAACCCTGCATTCTCAGATGTTCTGAAAGCACTCACTTGGGCATAGAATTTGCAGCATCAATAGATGGACCCATATTACAGTGTCCACGTAGTATATATCAGGGCAGCTTGATTCACTCAATTAGGGTGTGCTTGTACTATTTATCAGTTGCATTGTGTAAAATGGTGGCTTGCAGCTAAGATGGCCAAGCTGCCTTATGCATGGAGGATTAGAATGTGGGGCCAAGTCCTTCCTATCTTTGGCTTGGACTAGAAGGCATCAGGTGTATAAACTAGCTGATGTCCTTCAAAACTACCCTGAAACCCCCTTAGACTAGGTGGTATCCGGGAAGGTACACATGTATGACTTACTGTCTGTATCTGGGCACTCATTTGGAGCTAAGATTTGGGCTGCTGTTAGGACACTTTCAGGGCAGCCACATCCCTAGAGAGTAGCATTAGGAAAATCGTTAGCCTTGCCATAAGATGTGCATGGTCTAAATCAGGCATGGGCAACCTGTACTCTTCCGCATGCTATTGGACTGCAGCTTCCGGAAGCCCTGGCCATTGCAGTTAATGGCCATGGAAGAGGGGAGTGGGAGCCCAGCAACTGAACATCTGAATGGTGATTGGTTCCCCATCTCCTGCCTAAATGGGCTTAAGGCTGAGCTGTCTGACCTTGTGCTTGAAGTATCGCTGAAGTAGAGGCAAGGCTTTCAAATCAGCATGGCTGGGATCAGGCTGCAGATCCTGGAAACGCGCATAGTAGTAAGAGAAGCTCCTTTCAGTTGTGTTAGGCTAGCTCTAGAAAATCATAGGCACTCTGAAAGTGAACTAGTGCACTCCTCTGCTTGTAATACATGTCCAGTATAAAAAGGCTGTTTTTTTAAGTATACGTAGGTGTTGCTTCTTGCGGCAGCAGAATTATCTGCTAATTTTTACAGTCTGCTCGTTTTTACAGTCACAATCCCAATAATGTCATAGCAGGGACAGGGAACTTTTGATCCTCCAGCTGTTGGTGAAAGCTAGCTCTCATGCTGATGGGAGTTGTCCAACATCTGGAGGGGCAATAGTCCGGCACCCCAACAGTTGCTGGATAACAAAAAGATTGGACAGTTAGGGAAAGAGAATGTTTGCAAGACTGTGTCGTCATGTGCATTTGGAAGAAGGAAATAGAGCTTCCAAGTTCCTACTGTTGGTGGGAAGGACTGCATCTGTAAATAATCTTTGTATTTTCTGCAGCTAGAGACACACATTCTGTACTATAAAATGGGTAAACTATTTCTATGTTTGGTAGCATAGTATTTCCTGTAGGGGGTAAACTCTGTGACATCCTAATTCAGTAACTCCTGAGCGAAGTGGAGGAATTTTGCAGATTGCCTGAATTTGTACCTCATAAAATGGGCTCTCTGAGCCTCCATGTTTGGGTAGATTTGGGCCCAATTTCGTGGTCTGTAATGATACCCTAACATTCCACCAAATCCTTGGCCTTTTGTATGCAAGAAAGCCGCACACATTTCTAATAGCCCTAGAGATGTTTCGTGTTAGTATGCTCCCTTCAGCTAAGTTACGGCTTTTGGGGAGTGATGAGGACCATGGAAGGCCAGGGTTAGCCCAGGATATTATTTTTGCAAAGGCAAAAGGCCCTGGTTTTGGCCTTCCCAGAAAACATCTAGCTCACTATGGAAACAGGGTCCTGAGCAACAGAAAACAGTTTTTGTCCCAGTAAGGTTCTCCTTTGTTTTGATATCCATGGTGGAAATGCATTGCAGAATAGTTTACTTTGATACCGAACCTTTTTGCGCCTCGGGCCCAGCAGTGAGACCATGTACACACAGTGGGGTGGGTGGGGGGAAAGAAAAGGTTTGGGTTTGGGTTATAACCTGCTGCTGATAGCTGCTCAGGGAGGAATGGGCTTTATGCCAGGAATATGACTGTTGGGGATAAATATCCTGGTATGTTATCCTCCCCAACACAATCCCTCCTTCCCATCACAGTTGTGCCCCCCGCCTCCTCAGCCACCAAAAGGCTGTTTGGTGGGCTGGAGATAGTGCATCTGGAGGAGTGTCAACTGAGAAGGTAGCTTGGGTGCTTGCATGTCCACACTGAAGGCCTCTAGGTTTCCCACACATGCCACAAATGGGAAGGGGGCAGAATTACTTTGTCATCCAAACGGGACCTCTCAACTGCTTAACATTCCTATTACCCTTTCTCCATCCAGCTGAAGATTGCATCCCAGAGGTGGACTACTTCTTTGTGCCCATTATGGTGGGAGCATGTCTGGCAGGATTAATTGCTCTCGTTCTTATGGCTTATTTTGTCGGCCGCAAAACTCGTCATAATGCTGGCTATGAGCAGCTGTAAAAGCGGGGTGCAGTTTGGGCTGAGCACTTCCACTTTCAACCCACTGAGGAGTGATTTGCACCAGAAGAATGTTCTGTTGTCACACACATGTTGTTCAGAGAGACTAGCCTACTGCGTGCTCGTAATAATTAAGTGTGAAGTGACTTGTTTTGAATGTGGATAGGCCAGCTTAAGCCAAATGTACTTTTTCCCAAAAAACAAATCATTGCAGTGCCAACTACCATGATGGCACAAAGCCACCTCAGATGTCTTGTCCTCTCAGACCTGCTGCAAAGCTAATACTGATTTCCTGCATGCCGTAGTTTGCAAACGGACACAAGGCTGGCTGTGCAGGAAACCAGACTTTACAACAGCTTTAAACACAAGCAAGCAGGTCTTGAGCGTATTTTAAAGCTCAGGTGAAAATCTGATGAATGAAATGTTGTGGACTCATTATGGGGCTTCTTGAGTGATGTGTATTAAAAAGGCCTTAAGCCATTTACCTCCTGATTTTGTGAAGTAAATATTTTGCATTATTGGGTCCCTCTACCATTAATTGAGCATTTTAAGTTTTCTACTTTTCAGAAGTGACTTATACCCTATTACTAAAAAAATAGTAATAGTCCAAACATTACTCTGGTTGTGCCAGCCAGCATTATATAAAATAGGGCACTCGCTGTAGCCTCATTCTAATGTTTGTGAACGACTACCAGTTGTCTTGCTGTGGGTTGTGTTAAATAACTGTGTTTATAGAATCATTGTGTATGTAATACACTGCCTATCATTTTGGCAGAATTGGCTTTTCATCTTGTGCACTGTTTACTAAAATAGCTGCCTTGACGTCCCTTCCTGGGGCAGAAGAACAGAATATATGCTTTTAAATAAAAATGAACACTGTTACTGAAAGAAACATTCAATTATGTAAAGCAGAGATGGGAAACCTGTGGCGCTCCAGATGGATGATGCTGGAGTACGATTGCCACCTGACCTTTGGCTATGATGGGAGTTGGACTCCAACAATATCTGGAAGGCCACAGCTTCCCCTTCCTGCTATAAGGCAAGATAGCCTTTGGGTCATCATGACTATGTTTCAGTACCGTACATGGAAAGAAAGTAAGTCAGGATCCTTAACTTTGTTTAAGGACCTTCCTGTAATAACAAAAACAAAAAAATGTTTATGAGGATGTTGTAATATTCTGGAAGTTGAAAATGTTATGATAATAAACTGACTTGCCTTATTATTCAAGCAGCAGGGGAGCTGGGTGAAGCCTTATTATTATTATCTGGGTCTTCTTCCAGAGGCTTCCTTGAAAATCTTCCCCAAGGCTGCTTCTGAAATCCAAGCCTCTTGCTATTTAAAGTGTTGACATTCTGTTGCCTACACGCTGTTAAACTCCAGGTTAGATTACTGAAGCTTGTTACACGTGGGGCTGCCTTTGAAGACTGCTTGGGACCTGCAGTTGGTGCAGAATTGCGCAGCAAGATTGTGCACCTGTTTAAGGCAGTCCAAGCATAAGATGCCAATTCCGGAACAACTCTGCTGGCTGTCAGTTAAGTTTCCAGGCTCAATTTAAAGTGCTGGCTTCAACCTATGCAAAGCCTTATGCAGTTCTTGACCCCCAATACCTTAGAGACTGCCTCTCCTCCCCACAGAAGCCACCGCACAGCCTGCATTTTTCATCTGAGGCCCTTCTCCATGTGCAGAAAGTGGCAAAACAAGTATAGGCCTTTTGAGTGGTGGCTCCCTGTTTGTGGAATGCTTTCCCCATGAGGCATTCCTGATGCCATTATTATCCATTTTCAGGCATCAGGCATTCCTATTCACCCAAGCTTTCAATCGTTAAATGTGGAGGGTATTGGGTATTTCTATGGTGGTCTCTTTTTTGCTTGTCTTTTTATTGGGCGGGGGTGTTGAGTTACTTATACCTGCCCTTTTATATATATTACAGATGTGCTGTTGGGTTTTAGTTTTATTCTGGTTTTTATGTTTTGGTTTTAATTTTTGGGTCACTTGGTGTCACCTTCTCTGAAAAAAGGATGTAATGCAATAAGTAATCATAATAATATTTTAGCTTTCCCATCAACTCTGCAAAAGGAGAACAGGGCACAGAGCCTATCTCATGCTCTATCTTGTTCTTGCCTTGAGGCAAACATCATCATGACAGGCAGTAGTGGCCTTGCAGTTCATACACAGATGGAGTTTGAGATGCCATATTTCTCCTGTCTTGTTTGTGTAGAGATAAGGGAACTTCCTGGCTCAGACTAGAGGTCAGTTCCCAATTTCAAGGCACCAGCATCAGACTTTTTTGAGGCTGGGATGATGCTGGGATTTTGTGAATTAAGCAAGTTACAATAAGTTGCTTTAACAGAGTTTAGACCTTTGGGGGTGAGTCAGTACAGCCTGGCCAAAAAAAAAAAAAAGTTATTAACCCGAAAACAGACTAGTTATTTTGCTGCTATGTACCTGTGTTAGTATATCTGTTGCATGGATTATTTACTTAAAACGAAGTACCGGTAACTTCCATTGAGATTTGCTACCTGGCATCCTGGAGGAGACTTCGACCCATCATGGGCTAGTGGCTATTTGCAAGGCTGTTTCAACACAACTAGACAGGTATATTATTCCTGCCGCCTTTTCCTGCACATCTGCCTGCAGAGAACAGCAAAATAGCGACAGCTGCTAGGGTTGTGAGATTAGCTGGGACTTGGTGAGAACTGAGCAAACCTCCCAAATCATTGCATGATGTTCTCTTTCCCCATGCCAGGCTTGTTACTGCCCTCTGCTTAAAAGCAAACAGTGATGCCAAATTTGTACATAAAGCTCTGGACCAATGTTACATTAACATTGAATCTTGCATTACTGTTTTTAAAGTGTCACCAATGCACCTGACCCCAGGTAGAGTTATATGGGGCAATATAGATAGGCTCCTGATCCCAAGGAGTTTATAATCTAAAAAAAAGTAATCCTTTCTGCAATTGGGAATTAGAATTAATGGTGTAGTCCCAACTGTATCTACCCAGTAAAATATGGCTCTCTCCCAGGTAAGTGGCGTTAGAATTGCAGCCTCTTCACCAAAGGCTATGCTAAAAAAAAACCTGGCTTTTCAAGAAGGGTTGGAGGTTATCAGGGTTCAAGACTTTGGGGCAGGTTTGGGGATGCTGATGTTGCTGAACTACAACTCCCATCAGCCCCGGCAAGCATGGAGGGCCAAGGTTCCTCATATGCGCCCTGCAGTGCCCCCTCTATATGCCCCACCCTATTTTCTACCCCTTTCTGGTTAAAGAGATCCCTGCCTGCCCTTGGGCAGGTGGGTAGGGTTCTGAAATAAAGCTAGCCATGAATTTTCAGTTCAGTCCATTCCTATACAGATCAAAGGTAATATACCAAAAGAAAGGAAGGTACAAAATGAGCGAGCTTGTTTTTTGATGGCACAGTAGCCCAAACATTGCATTGCCTTAAAATTCTGCTGTCGGCTTGCTAACTCTTAGTAAACAATGTATGAGCTTTTAAACTGTGCATGGGATTATCGTTTTTGTTATTATGGTATGCATTTTTTGTGTTTTTATATTGTAAACCGCCCTGTGATCTTTGGATGAAGGACAGTACAGAAATGTAAATAATAATAATAATAATAATAAAGTACATGCTGAGAAAATTTAATAACTTGTTCCTTGTGCAGCCAACGATTGACCATTTTGTTCTCTTTGCCTCCTTGCTTTCTGTTTTAAAATTCCTCTTTGCCTAATACAGTATTTCCTGCTGTTTCTGCAGGATGGTGCTAAATCTTCAGTTTATTGTAACTCATGGATAAATGTAGAGAGTTACTTTCCTTTCTGTAGCACAGACTTGTGTTATCTCCCTGTCAGATGGCCAGATGGCAAAGTGATCTGTTTACAGAAAATATTTGAGTCACATCTACACCGTATATCTAAAGCACGTGGCTTCTCCTGATGAATCACGGGAAATGCAGTCTGTTAAGGGTACTGGGAATTGTAGCTTTGTGGGGTAGGTAAGCTACAGTTAACAGGATTCTTTGGTGGAAACCATGCTTTCTAAAAGGTGTGGATGTCATTGATCTCATGCTGAAAGCAACACTACATCACCTAACAGCTAACAGCAATTCACAATCCAATTCTAATTATGTTTACTTAATGAGTTCCACTGAGTTCAGTGGGATGTACTCCCTAGTAATGATGCTTAGGACTGCAACCTAAGTGATGCATGGACAATTGGGGGAGATTTCCCTTTTAAAACATGCTAAGATCCTGTGTGGGGCTGAAACCCTCCAGTTCTTAACCAGGACCAGTCCAAGACAATTTGCTGCCTGTGGCTAAAGAACAAAGTGACGTCTCTTCCCTATTATGTGTACAAAAGCAGTTCAATCCTACCTACTGGCAGCAGAATGTACTCCATTGCAGCTGAGGTCAGCTGCCTGGCTGAGGGAGTGCTTGGCAGACATTGCCCTGCCCACTCCCTGCATTTATCCGCAGAGGCAGCAGCCTCACTCTTGTCTCATAGGACGGCTAGCTCTGCTCCTAAACCCGGTCACAAGTTCTAAGAATGAGGTCAAAGGAAATATGCTCCTCCTCCTAGAGCGTGGAAGCCACTGCAAACAGAATGAAGAAAATCTGTGCTATCTGCAAAAGCATTCAGAGCTGAGCTTTAATACTTCACTGATCACAATGCTAAAGTGACTTGCACGTATCACTAGATAAGTACTCTGCGGTCTATTTATCAGGAGTGAGGCAATGGGGTGTCCTGTAGTGATGAGGAAAAGAGACGGAACTACATATTTAATCTAAATCTAGACTTCAGGTGTGGGGTTTTTTGCTTTTCTTTAGCTGTGTGCTTTCCTATAAAACTGGCAAATTTTTATATTTAGAGACACCGTACTGTAGTGGTTAAGTGTGTTGTGCCAGGACTTTTGAGGCTAGAGTTCAAATCCCCACACAAGCCATGGAGCTCCCTGGGTGGCCTTGGGCCTGTCGCCATCTCTCAGCTTAACCTTTTCTCACTGGGAGGTTGTGAGGGTAAAATGGAGGGATGAAGGAGAAAGATGTGTGCCACCTTGGGATCCTTGGGTTAGAAATGCAGCAAATAAATAAAACAGGCAAATCTTAAGGTCATCTGTTGGCTTTCCTGACATCCCTGTGAGACTAGCCGGTGGGCACATCGGCGCAAGTTTCACTGGTTCCGTTTTACACACCAAGCACTGTAGATGTTCCAAAATTTCAAAGGTGGCTGGCCGGAGAAACGAAATCATAAACTTGGGCCCCACCTGCACTATAGATTTAAAGCAACAGCATACCATTTGAAATAGGCATGGTCAAGAAGGTGAAATACCTGGGGGTAAACTTGACGTCTAAAAATTTGAACTTGTTTAAGGATAACTATGAGAAATGCTGGTTAGAAGTTAAGAAAGATTTGGAAACATGGTCGAGACTGAAGCTTTCCTTGCTGGGCCGAATTGCTGCTGTTAAGATGAATGTTTTGCCAAAAATGTTGTTTTTATTTCAAACCTTGCAGGTCGTGGACAGAATGGAATGTTTTGGAAAGTGGCAGAGGGATATTTCAAAGTTTGTCTGGCAGGGCAAAAAGCCCCGAATAAAGTTTAAAATACTAACTGATGCAAAAGAAAGAGGGGGGTTTGCCCTGCCAGACTTAAGGTTATATTACGAGGCGGCAGCCTTCTGCTGGTTGAAAGATTGGATTTTATTAGAGAATACAGATGTCCTAGACCTGGAAGGTTTTAACAATTCGTTAGGATGGCACGCGTATCTGTGGTACGGCAAGGTAAAAACACATGGAATGTTCAAAAACCATATTGTCAGGAAAGCAATTTTTATGGTCTGGATGAAATACAAAGACTTACTTGAAAGTAAGACACCGAGGTGGTTATCACCAGTGGAGGCTAAGGCGTGGAAAAAACCCAATATGGAGGCCGGTTGGCCGAAATATTGGGAATTAATAGAAAAAATTGGTGACAATTGGAGGTTGCGGAGCTTTGAAAATTTAAAGGATAAGGTGCGAGACTGGTTTCACTATGCCCAAATTAACGAGGTTGTTAAATTGGACAAAAAAATAGGATTCCAGGTGGAAAAATCGAAACTTGAGACAGAGTTGTTAGAACCAAAGACCAAGGTATTATCGAGAATGTATAACTTGCTGCTTAAATGGAATACACAGGATGAGACAGTTAAATCAGCCATGATAAAGTGGGCTCAAGACATTGGTTATAATATCATGTTTGAAGACTGGGAAAGGTTATGGACCATCGGTATGAAATTTACGGCATGTAATGCCTTGAAAGAAAACATTATGAAAATGATATACAGGTGGTACATGACCCCAGTCAAGCTTGCTAAGATATACCATTTGTCTGATAACAAATGTTGGAAGTGTAAGGAGGCTGAAGGAACATTCTTTCACCTTTGGTGGACTTGCCCAAGAGTGAAGGCCTTCTGGGAAATGATCTACAACGAGTTAAAAAAGGTGTTTAAGTACACCTTCTCTAAAAAACCGGAGGCCTTCCTCTTGGGTATTGTCGGCCAAAAGGTGTTAAAGAAGGACAGAACGTTTTTTATGTATGCTACCACAGCAGCAAGAATTTTGATCGCCAAACATTGGAAGACTCAAGATTTACCCACGCTGGAAGAGTGGCAAACGCAACTGATTGACTATATGGAGTTGGCCGAAATGACTGCCAGAATCCGAGACCTGGGAGAAGAAGCAATGGAGGAGGACTGGAAAAAATTTAAGAACTATTTACAAAAATTTTATAAGTTATATGAACTATAAAATGACGCACAATTTGAAATGCTAGCCCCAGCAACGAGAGTGCAATATTTATGAAATTGGATAATATTATTGAAAGAATCAAAGTTTAAATGTTAAGAATGATAATATGTTTTGTTTTTAGGGTAAATGGACAATAAGGGATTTAAATTTAAATTGCAATTGAAAGTACCAAAGAAACACATGAAACAAGGTTACAATTTGCTGATAAATTTATTATTAAGAATGCATTGTGCGGGAGATGTGGGGAAGTTTGATGGGAAGTTGGAATAAGCTGTTGAAGGGGTATGATTTTTCTTTTTTCTTTTACATTTTTCGTTTATTTTTTCTCTTACTGTTTTCTGTCTGTGTCTGAAAAATGCAATAAAAATTATTTTAAAAAAAAAATGAAATAGGCATGGCTTCCTCCCCCCCCCCAAGAATTGTGGGAATTGTAGTTTGTTAAGGATGCTGAGAATTGTTAGGAGACCCCAATTCCTCACAGCCAGAATTCACAGATTTCCCTTGTAGGAAGCCTTTTGATTGTTAAACTACTCTGGTCATTGTAGGCCTGTTAGGGGGAATAAAGGTAAAGGTAAAGGGACTCCTAACCATTAGGTCCAGTCGTGACCAACTCTGGGGTTGCGACGCTCATCTTGCTTTACTGGCCAAGGAAGCCGGCGTACAGCTTCCGGACCATGTGGCCAGCATGACTAAGCCGCTTCTGGCGAACCAGAGCAGCGCACGGAAACGACGTTTAGCTTCCCACTGGGGCGGTACCTATTTATCTACTTGCACTTTGAGGTGCTTTTGAACTGCTAGGTTGGCAGGAGCTCACCCCGTCATGGGGATTCGAACCGCCGACCTTCTGATCGGCAAGTCCTAGGCTCTGTGATTTAACCCACAGCGCCACCTGCGTCCTAAAAACACTGAATACCCTTAGCAAACTACAGCTCCCAGAATGTTTTTTTTTGGGGGGGGACAGCCTCTATGGCTGTTTAAACTGACAGGATGCCGCTTTAAATGTGTAGTGTAGATGGGGCCTACGTTAGGAAACAAGAGTTGCAAATATGTCACTTGTGCTTTTGCTAATTTGTGCTCAGATGCTTGCTCTCTTCACTAACTTCCTGTCCCTCGCTCTGTGTTCTCCCTCTCCCTCCTCTCTTTTTCAATCTTGTCTTCCTA